AAGTCCTAATGTTTTGGAGTTATTTTCTGTTTTAAAGGTATATATGGACTCCTCAATGTTATTTTGTTTTTGTTGTTTTATGTTTGTCAGTAACTCATTATCGTTTGATGACCATTTCCTTAAATTCATTCCACCTGATTTAAGTAATGAGATAAGTTCAATAATTAATTTCTTCCCGTCAGTTAATGAATGTGTTCCATGGACTACGTCATCCATGTAACACGCAGATTCTAGCACTTTAGCTGCCTCGGGATATGTTTGGCGTTCATCCGCGGCCAGTTTTCGCAATGTCATCATTGCCAAGAAGGGTGCTGCCTTGGTACCGTATGTGACAGTTGTTAAAGTATAAGTTTGTAGGGGCTGAGACTGTGTATCCCTCCATATTATTTTTTGTAGATTTTGATCTTGTTCTGCAATTAATATTTGCCTAAACATTTTCTCGATGTCGGCAGTAAACGCGTATTTATACTGTCGCCATTTTAAGAGCAATGTCTGCAAATCGTGTTGCAGATTAGGGCCGGCGTACATTACGTCGTTAAGACTATAGCCTGAAGATGTTTTGGCAGATGCGTTAAATACAACCCTATATTTTGTGGTCGTCGACTCTTGGCGTTGAACTCCGTGGTGTGGTAAATAACATTCAATGGGTGTGTTACTATTAGTATCAAGTTTCATATGACCCAAAGAAAAGTATTCATTCATAAAAGCTTTATACTCATTTGATAGTTGTAAATGTTTCTCAAATTTATTTTCTAAATTCCTAAATTGCGCTATAGCCATCTGTTTTGAGGATCCCAGCTTCTTCTCTGCATCTTCTTTAAGAGGTAAGCGTACTTCATAACGACCATCTTCTTTTCTTACTGTAGTTGTTGTAAAGAAATGAACACATTCTTGTTCTTCTACGGATAAATTTGACGGTTCGCTAATTTCTTCAATTTGCCAAAAGCGTTGTATGTCGTTTGTGTTATTTATAACCACGTTGCAGTGATAGGTTTTGGCATTACCACATAGCAACCAACCTAATTGTGTTTGTTGAGCGATGGGCAGTGGTGCATGCTCGCCCTTAATAATTCCATTCAATATTATGATAGAATAAATATCTGCTCCTAATAATAAATCAACTGGTCTACTTTTGTAAAATTCCGGGTCAGCTAAATTTATGTTCGATATATGATTCCAGGATGGTTTTTCAAATGTTTTATTCGGTAGACACTTTATTAAATTGTTCATTATAAATACTTCCGCGTTAAATGTAAAGTCGTTGTACGATGAACGACACTCTATGTTAGACAATCCTTTACAAGAGTTTTCCTTTTCTCCGACTCCAAATATTGTTCCCTTGCATTTTTGTCTCTTAATACCTAATTGTTGAGCTGCCTTTTCTGTAATCAACGAAATCTGTGAGCCTTGATCAATTAAGGCCCTTATGTTAATGTAAGTTCCGTCCATAGATTTTACTTCTAACATCGCAGTTGCTAATAAAATCTCAGAGTCGTTGTTTTGCGATATGTGCGAATTTGTTATAGTATGATTTTCATTGCAATAGTTTCCGTTCGATGACCGCGAAGTGGACGCCTGAGTCGGCGAAATTGATGTGTATGCATCGTGCAATATCGTGCTATGCTGTTTTGTACATTTACGACACGTTTTTGTGGAGGTGCATGAACTCCCGTTATGACTAAATAAGCAATTTACACATAACTTGAGCTTATTTACAGTCTTTAATTTCTGTTCAGATGTCATCTCAAGAAAGCTTTTGCAGTTGTAAATACCATGATCACGAGAACATAGAGGGCATTTAAAATTACTTGAAATATGATATGATTTCGTGAATGGTTTTATATACTTATGTTGAATGTTATTGTTATGTCGACTTTGATTTGACGATTGTGAACTTTTATTTTGAGTAGAATATTCCCTGCTGAAATAGTGATTTGACTTTTGCTGACTGCTTTCTTGTTTCCTGCGTGAGGATTCTAAAGCTGTAAATTTCGCCTCCAAAAATCTTAAAAAGTCAGATAAAATCGGTAATTCACGTGGGTTTTTTAAAGATTCTATATAATCTGAATGAGTTTCAGCATCCAACTTCTGAGACAGTAAATGTATGAGTAAGGGGTCCCACGTTGAAATATCGATATTGAGATTTTTTATCGCGTTTAAGGTTTCTATTGTTCCATCGTGAATTTTCTTTATTAGTCCTGCCGATTGATGTTGCATATTAGGTAAACCCATAAGAGTATTCATGTGTGACGTAAATATAAGTTTCTTGTTATTGTAGCGATTATTTAGGATGTCCCAACAAGCTTTATAATTCTCAGAACTTATTTCCAGGTGTTGTATTAAACGCTCGCCATCACCGCGTACTTTGCTGCGTAAAAATTGCATCTTCTGTGCGTCAGACATTGATGGATTGTCATGAATGGCTTCTCGAAATAAATTTTTGAATGGTACCCATTGGTTATAATTTCCATTAAATATTGGAATATCCAATTGTGGAGTTGCTTTTTCGCGATGTATCATGGACCATATTTTTGTGTTTATTGCCTTCTTAGTGTTTATATATTTCCGTTCGTAAAAATTAAATTTCCCTTCATACTCACTGTCATCGTCATTTTCACACACAATTTCCCAGTGTAACTTATCTACCTCTGACCAACGCATCTCTAATGTTTTCAACGAATCTTCTAATTCCCACTTTTCCAATGATGTTTCCACTTCAATAATACTAAGGGTTCGTTTGAAGGCTTTAAAGTTAGCTTCCTGCTTACGCCACAACTTAGATATAGTGTTTAATGATTCTTTGCTGACCTTGTTTTCTTCTTCATTTTGTAATTTCTGTGTAGTGACCTGTTCGACTTCGGTAACCATTTCTAAAACCTTACTTGTGCCTGCTTGCTCTTGCCCTTTCTTATCGCTCATTGTTAAATACTTCTCAATGTAACTCTTTGTTTGTTTATAAAAATCTTCAGTTTGTTTATAATGATTTTCGTTGAAATAAGCATAAGAAGCTTTGTTCAATACTTCATCGTCCAACCTGAAATGATTCTCTTGAAATTCATTCCAATAAGTATCTAGCATTTCTAGGCGGCGTTGTATATTAGAAGGAGTCTTACGGGAGACAGAATCCTTCTTGAAATTGGTAAGGAGCGTGTCCATAGCTCGCATCAGCTCGCTTTGCGTTTCCATGATGCCTTCCATGTTTGTTGCAAAAAATCAGAAAATGTAAATGTAATGTAAATGGAAAGATCTTACTTGGTTTATGCTGTGTTGTTGATGATCTTACTGTTTCAGTCTAGCAACCAAGTAGTTACTAGAGAAGCACGCTGATGAAACCTCTGTTTGTTAAATCCTCTTTATATACACACACACACACACTGTACCCCAATGTTCACTGTTCACCACCCCAAAGTCACGATTATACGCGCGCGAGGTGGTCGCTCGAAGGACCACTGTTCGGAGATGAGTATGCGTAGCGTAGGGGAGGATAAAGTAAAAATAATGTTTGTATTGAAGTCACTTTACTAAGTATCTATCAAAAGTTAATATTGTTTACTAAGTCTATTAAATGTTAATTTAAAATGTTAATGTTAATGATAAATGAGATAATTGTTAGAGAGAACATCCAACCGGTAACGGGGATCGAAATGTTCTCCTGAAAAAACATATGTAACTACAGGCTGGCCGGCGGTGACCTACTTTTCGCCACGAGCCGCGCTTATTTACCTAAACTACGTAAAATGCATATGATGCAGTGTTCGGTCATTAACCGAACAATTATTTAATATTAATCGTATTTAAAAAATAAAAATTAATTCTTGAAATTATACTAGAGTCACTAGCGATGTTTGGGTAAAAAGAAACATTAGTTCCCGTAATCAAACTAGATGTCGTTACAGTACGTTCTTGATTTCTCCATGACAATTCTTCCGGTTTTCTTTCATGTTTAAATGTAAATTAGTTTTCAAAACTCAATAAACAACTCATATTCTGTTTGTTCTTTTTCGTATTTGTATTGATATCTTAGTATTGAACTTTTCAAATTTAAACTAACATATTAAAAAACTGAAATTTGCTAAGTTCGAAACTTAGATATCAATACAAATACGAAAAAGTACAAATAGAATAAAAGTTTTTAATTGAGTTATGAACACTAATTTACTTCTATACATGAAAGAAAACCGGAAAGGTTGTCATGGAGAAATAAAGAACGTACCATAGCGTCATCTAAATTGATTTCGGAACCAATTTTTTTTTATAGAAGTGATTTATTTCAGATCGATATTATACATCCCTATTTTGACATTTAGATAAGTCAGACTCTGACAAGTGACAACTAGGGATGTGAGATTAATAGAAAATAATCGATTTAATAAAAATCGATTTTCTTTTATAAATTATAAATCGATTTGTCAATAATCGATTTTAATGAAAATAAATAATTTTTCTATTATTTAAAATCCTACATGCTTTGCATATTCCAATAATAAACCTAAAAGATTCATATTAACAATTAATCAGATTAAAAAAAAAATAATATGAATAAAAAAATTGACAATTCAAAACTAAAAATCAAAGCAAACGTTCTTTTAAACTTTCAAGGTAAGGCATAATAAAACCAAATATCATTATTGATAGAAATTCTCAGTATCTTTAAACGTTATATAATAATAAAAATGAGCACCCCAACAAAATGACAACCTTATTGTCGCAAAAAATTAAATATAATAATAAAAAAAAAAATCGTCATGAATGTAAATGTTTAGTTTTCGATAAATATCAAACATCGATGTTGGACTTACGATGATGATATCGATGTCAACATCGATGTTATTCTAATGTCGATCATATATACCTACATACCTACAGATGGCGCCGTTTTTATATAATCAACTTTTAAGTAATAATGCTTCGAGTTTTTTCATTTGGCGCATAGATGATGCTATTTATGAAAATCGATTTAACCGCGCAATTTATTTAATCGATTTGTTAAAAATCAATTAATATGAAATGGAAAATCGATTATAAAAAAATCGATTATATTAAAATAATAATCGATTAAAATAAAAATCGATTATTTTTTAACATCCCCAGTGACAACGTCTCTTGTCTTTCTCTCTTTTCTGTCAACTGTTTGTGTTGATATTAAAATGGTGAGGATTTAATTTTCTAATATCATTTCAATCACTGTATTTATCAATAGGATAATGTGTTCGTTTAAGTGCCTTTAGTGTAACATTTTTGTTATATATTTTATTTCTTCGTAAATGTTTCAAGTTCCAAATTTTAGGAATTATGTTTGACCAATCTTTACTTATTTGCAGGCCAAACGTACGAAAAAGGTTGGAATTACCGGCAAATATGGCACACGGTATGGTGCTTCACTGCGTAAAATGGTTAAAAAGATGGAAGTGACCCAGCATGCCAAATACACTTGCTCCTTCTGTGGAAAGGTTAGTCAAATTAATTAGTACGTGTTGTATGCTATTTAAACTTGGATTCAATAATTATCTATATTATTTCTTAGCCAATTTAAGGCTAGTTACGAATTCCTTATTATGTTTTTATCATTAAATAAAATTATGTAGAATTGTACACAAAGTTGAATTCATGACCACATGAAAGACATGGCATGAAAAGGTTGATGCCCGAGATACTCATATACCCCATTCTATAGATTGCTCTCTACTTGAAGGATTTGTTGTCGGCAATAATAAATCATATGGGTATCTCATATGTGTTCTCTTATTTAAGTTTTTACTATTTGATTTAGAATTGGTAGATTATGCGGTTTGTGTAATGACAAATAGCCGCAATAAACATTTCACATTTTCAGGATGCCATGAAGAGATCATGTGTTGGTATCTGGTCATGCAAGCGTTGCAAGAGGACAGTTGCTGGAGGTGCATGGGTGTTCTCCACAACTGCTGCCTCTTCATGTCGCTCTGCTGTGAGAAGGTTGCGTGAAGTCAAATAAACATATGACATAATTGTAAGGCAATAAATTAAAAATCAATTAATTAGTTTGATTTTAATATCATTACTTTTAGTTTACCCATAAGTGATTTATGACAGGTATGATGACATTGCTGTCATAAGTTGGAAGGTATTGAACTCGCTAAGATTACAATAACAAAAATAAATAGTTGTTTTTTTATTTGTAATATGAAGAAAAATTATTCAAAACAAAGACTTCTGTGGTAGACCTCACATTTTTAAACTTGAAAGATTTGCCTTTGTAGACATGGCTATTATGATATCTTAAATTTTTTCAATTGATTTTAAATGTTACCTATGATACAAAAGATTATTTATAGGTATAATAGACTATAGGTTTAAAATCCAGTAGAGAATTTTAACAGTTCTGTATAGCTTGATGTGTTGTCTCTATGTAAGTACATTATATAATGTATATAATGAATATATTTTAAATGTATATATTTAAAATTTGAAGAGAAATGCTTACACAATATAATAGTAGAAAACAGAGTATCTTCTCCCAGTCTGTATGCTGAGATGTTTTAAATCATACAATGGATAATCCAATATACAAGAGCGTTTTAAGAGGAAGGTTTAAAGGGCCTCACAGGTGAAGCCATTGGTGGAAAACTAGTAAGAAAATATCTTGTAGTGGAAACAAAAGACCACAAATACCTTAGGCATTTACAAACCTAAAGATAAATCATGTTATCTAATTTATGTATGAAGCTCAATCTTCATAGCAAAAATGCTCATAGACTGTAAAAAGAAAATGCAATTTTTCACTCTATAAATGATTTTGCTAGGTATTTTATTTAATGATGGTAGCATTGAAGATTTGCCTAGTGCTCCTACACTCTGTTATTTAATATTACAGCACATAAGTACATGCACATTCTTTTACATAGAGTAGAAATAAAAGTAGAAAAATAGGATATGTAAAGTAGTTTTATTTTAAGTTTATATTTGAATTTCAAATTACATTTCAATAAATGTATGTACTTCTATAAAACAATATTACTTATAAGTACATTAGCTCTATAGCACCAACATTTTGTCTTACCCCTTTTTACTACAGGTGGTAATAAAGTTAAAAATAACAATTCTCATGTTTCTCTTAAAATACACTGTTACTTTTATAAAAAATGTTTTACATTAATTTATAATATATTAAAAAATAAGTACAAATAAATTCTTTTTGGCTTACTAGGCTGCACATGAATGAAGGTCATTTGATTTTAGTTTTATGTGAGTTCAGTTTTGATAAAACATTCTGGTACACTTATAATTTATAATTGTTCACATTTATTGAAGTATCCGTGTATATAATTATTGAAGTATAATTATTTTAAACATTTTTTTAATTATTGAACATTTTCAATTTAATATTTTGTGATATGGCTTGGCCACATTGTCACACAATTTTGAATGGCACCAAGTAAGTTAAATTTAAGCATTAATCTTTATATTTTACTACAAAGATAGACATTTGAATAAGTGATTTACTTAATGATTTATTACCAAGGTGTAATGTCTATATAAGTCTTTAAATCTTTATTATTCACCTAAATCAGCATCATCATCATCAATTATATCTAAAATCCGGAAAGCTACACCTAATAAGGCAGTGCCCAGTAAGTCACCAAGAGCAGTCAAGTATGGTATTGCAGAGTTATCAGGATCCATACCAAATTTCCACATCCACATCACCATATAATGACTAATTAACAACAATAAAAATACTTGCAGCATAGCAGCTGACATATAGAAAAATATAAATGTGGGTGTCATAGATGTATGTCCTGCCCTTAAATAACCTATAGTGTATACGAAGATGAGTTGACCAGGCACTACCATAATTAAAAGTAGTTTTGTTGTGCTACTTATAACAGAACCTTCTTTTTGTCCTGTGTGAAAAGCTGTTGACAACCTAGATGCATGAACAGCTACCATATTGCCTCCTATTCCATTTATGACTAGTTGATACACTGCAATACCTTTATATTTAGAAACAGTGTAGTCTAAAATTAATCCACCTGCACTGCTTATAACCATTGCAGACACAACAGGTACCCATCCCTCATCCAAGGCTTGTCTGGTGAAGTTATTTTTCCAAGCAATGTAACCACAAAGTGGCACAATAACTGCACCAATGATAATAATAATAGACGGAAATATCACACTTGTGCCAATAGACTTATACAACAGTGATGCTATCCAAGATAACAGTGCCAAGGTTGTTAAATCTCCCAAACTAGCAGCTATAGGTGTGGCAATGTTATCTGGATTTATATTTAGCTTTCTTGAGAATACAACAACACCGATCATAATTAACCCAAGGACAAAACTAGCAAATGAAGCTGTAAGAACACTTGACGCACACAACAATAACGCATGGTGGATGTCAAATTGCCCTTTAGGTATCCAGCCCATAGCAACAGCAGCTGATGCTGCTAAGAAACCAACTAGAACTGCTTGACATTGAATTAAACACAAATTACCCATAACTAATGAGCCTAAACTAGTTTCCAAGTGGCCTAAATGAGCATTGGTAGAAAGTCTTGACGCAAGAGTCATTTCTAGGTTTCCTTTCAATCCCAACAGGGCAGGTACTAATATATAAACTTCTGACACCTTTTTAAAAACAATCCAATGTTGCACTACATCAAGCAGCAGGCTTGCAGCCACCATACCAAAACCGGCGAGTAAAAATGATAAAAACATTTGCACACCTGCAAACCAGGAATTTTCTTTGCCATATTTTATATCTGGTGGTTTTGTATCGTTTGCAACCAGTCTATACGCATTAGAATTAACTTCCGTTTCACTGGAGCACTCTGACGTCCTCGTCATTCTAGAATTACTATTGCTCTTGATTCTGTTCATGATGATAAACGAATATATCAGTGATAAAATAGCACTTAAAATAAACAAGCTTAGAGATGTCTAAATATTGAGCACATACTAAAGATAAGGCTTCGGTCTTATTTTCAGACTTGTACTGTAGTATGCCACTCACAAATGTCATAGACATAAGTGTGAAAGTAAAGAAAAAGTGAATATATTATTTACTTTTATCATTTGCGACAAACAAGTATTATAAAAATATAATCAGAATTATCTTTTTGTTTGTAAATGTACAGCTCGGCAGCTGACTGTCAGTGTCATAGATAGTATGACATTAGGCGTGGTGCTCGATCACAGATTTAGTGTGCTCGATATTCATCGAGGTTGAATAAAAATTAATGTTCAGCTAGAAAACATCGATGTTTTAACTTCGATAACATCGGCAAATTGATATTTTCTAGCCAAACATCGATGTTTATGAATAAAATATCAATATATGCTCTAGATGTACTAGCCAGATGATCTCGTATATCAAGTTCAACTATTTTCCACTAGATGTCACCGGTTGCACTCGTAACTGGAGTAACCAAACAAATAGTTTTTCTTTGCTTGCATTTTCAAAGGAAGTTAAAAATAAATCTGTCAACTTCAGAGCACTTTGTATTTTATTGCAAAAAATCATCGATGTTGGAAAACAGATCAGTTTTCGATAAAGATCGATCATCGATGTTGGGCGTACAATGATGACATCGATGTCAACATGAAAGTTTTTTTTATATCGATCATATGTCTGTCAGTGTTAAATCCATGAAGATAAAGTAAAAGAACCAAACTCCAAACTCAGAACTATTGGTTGAAGAAAAGTTATTTGACCTCTATTGACCTTTCTTTGGACTCCTGGGTGGCTATGTCATAAATCTAAATTTTCCCGGAACCTGTACCGGTCAGTGATGTTATTGGTACTAATAGTATAGTTTTACACGTCACTAATTGCATAGGACTTGAAACTTTATTTATATATCAGAAATAAGATTGTACATTAAATATACTCTGAAATCCAATCCAATGTAACAAAAAACTTAAACAAAAGGGTTATTAAGCAATAACTACAATTTAATAAAATCTATAATAAAAACGGTACGCAAATATTATAATCAGAAGGCAGATACATAGGTGCAATTTAATAAAAATTATTAACTTTTTACCGTCGTCATGTCAATCTTATTAATCAATAATCCAGACTTGCAATTTAATTTGTTGAATTATTATTAAAACCTATAAATTGTTAAATTATATTCCACTATAGACCGTTTCACATAGAATGGATACGATGACATTTGTTAACAGTTGATGAATAAATATTATTCTCAAATCCTGTTTTATATGTTGATCTCAAAACCGTTTATCTCTATTAGAAATAAATTCAATAACATCGAGTTTTTGTATATAAAAACTTCAAACCCCAAACATCATCGTACCCATGCTATGTGAATAAGACACCGTAATATTTTTTCTAAATTTCCCCATTGTTGTGGTAAATGGCATCCTCAAAAAATGGCAACCTCGTGTGTGTCAATATGGCGAATGACAATTACTAATTTCGTCGACTCGAAAATTGTGATTCATATATAAACGTTTCTCGCTATCAAATCGTGAAAAATAGTTCAGAAATGTGTAGTCCTACGTTGCGGAAGCAAATGGCATCCTGGATGTTCTTTGATATTTCACCGGTGAGTCGTAAGTTACTATAATTGATGACTGCTTGCATTTTATAAAAATAATGTTTTTAACGTAGAATCCTTCAATTTTTGATAATTTACAATAATATGGTATCTAAAGTAATATATGATTTAATTGTTTACAGTAGCATATTTCAGAAATTTTCTAATAAAAGCACAGTTCACATTGAAAAATAAAAATAAACAAATACTAATATGGTGACCATGAAAAGAAGATAAAGGATAAACAATAAAACTGAACTTAATATTTTTTATTTCACTTTTAGTTTTCCCAAGGATCTAATAAAGAGAAGTCAACGGCTAACGAGTGTCAAATAAAAAAATAAGTTTTATTTAACTGAAAAAATATACAATAATCATTTGTGGCCACTGATTTTATAATAGAGAATCGGTTAAAGCATACAAAAATTCCTTTTTATTCTGATGTGGTAAGTAAAAGTCTATATTCTACTAATTGACTTCTAGGTAGCAAAAATAGAATACAAACTTGCGAGAGAGAACGCGAACTTGTGGCTCGGCGTCCTGTATTTAAGATGACACACAAGCGAAAAAGGTCGTCGAGCCACAAGTTCACGTTTGGAAGGAATAAAATATTTTTATTTTACTTAATGTAATATGTCATGAAAAAATGGTCTCGAAATATCTTAATTCCCTAATGGCAGGGTTTAGACAAAATAACCATAATTAGTTTTTTTTTTCCAGTCGGGACAATCTGATCTAAAAAGTGATGCATTTACCATGCCTTCTACACCTTCAACAAGCTGACAATCGTAGTCTGCAGTCTTGTATTTCACTTTGCATATTAGATCTACTCCGTGCTTTGGAAGGCACGTTAAGCAGTTTGTCCCGATTGTATCTGCAGTTGTAAAAACCCTTCAATCCGGAATGGACCCATTGTGGGTACATTAATAGGCTGGTGATTATTAATAAGAGTTTTTTGCCAACTCTAATTCCCACACTGCTAAGTTTTAATCAAACTCAAAAATTTTTATTTTTTTATTTGAGAACCCCCTAACGAGACTCATTAAATACTAGTATACGTACGATACAGTAAGGCTAGCAAAATTTTTTAAAATTTTCTCTTTTGTCCCCTGAAAATAACCCGTTTTTATAAAAACTGTGTTTAGGTCAAAGGATGACTAATTTTACAAGATTTGGTCCAGTAGATTTGGAAAGGCTTTTTGTACGGAACTTTAATAAAGTCAATTTCATATTTGACGGAGAATCTAGATTAGATCTATTAATGTCATATGTAAACTTTACATCTACCTAGGAAAATTTGATACTTTTTTTTGCCTTAATGTTCTACTCTTTAAACTTGTCTCCTTTATTTTGTAGTTGTGTGGACACCCTATTAGAAAGAGAGGAGGGGGACCTAAGGAATGAAATAGAAAACATTTAAGGTCAAATTTTTATGCTTCAAGTAGGTATGGAGGAGTTTGGTCTCCAGTTATTACTTTAGCTTCATGGCAAACGGTGCCTCAACCCCACCACTCTTAATCCTTTCACCGGAAGCCGTCACTCTTGGGCCGAGCAGTGCTGCCATTAATAGCTATGAAAAGAGTAGATACATTTGGTGATAAAATGATATGGTTTAGTACGTACGCGGTGTTCTTTTTTAATTCTTTTAATTTTTAAGGAGTTTCTATTGTTTTGACTTTTACGTATATACCAAATAGCATCATCACTATAACTTACTCTTGCCAGTTTAAAAAAAGCACAATAAGAAAATCTTTTGAGGATATAAATATATAGAAATATTAAAAATTATACATCTTCTCAATTTACTGCATGTATTTTTACATTCATTATAACCAGTGGTCGGAAATAGGTAGAGTTATTCATGTACTTACACTGATTTCATACAGCGAAAGAATAAAGTGGATATGCCTCAAATCCCGAGATTAATTTTAAAGAGCAGGAAAAATCCCGTGATTTTTTAAATAAAAAGTTATTTACTTTACACAATTTAAACTACTGCACGCACGACGTTGCCAAACTTACATCAATGACATCGGATGTCCAAAGTTGCAAAATATCAATATGCGCGATGTTGCCACATTTGTAGTTCGCACAACATAGCTTGTGAGAACAAAAGAATACAATAGCGCAAATGCGGAGCACTCCCCACTTAACGTAATGTACTAGATTGTGTCTCTTTCTACCGCATTCAAACTATCTATAAGCAATGAATCGGTTTACTCATTCACTCAGCTCATTCGCTTACCTCGGTTCGTCGAATGCGCTCACTTGTTTCCTATTGTGTTTTGTGTAGTCAATCCTGTTTGACCCTGGCTCGTTTACTGGATTCTGGACTCTACTTAATACGACTATTTCGGCACGCATTAACGGACTTTGATTTGGCCTTACTGTATTGGATAATTGGATATTTGAAATTGGTGATATACTTGGTAAGTTTCTTGTTCATATTTTTATTAAATTTCCTTTAAAATAGATTTTCCCTATGTAGAACGTTTCTTGTATTGTTATCAAAATCGGTATTGTTTAACTTAAGATGTTCTTTGATACAATCACAATAAAGTAACAATGATTTCAAATGCTACAGAAGAAGCTTAACATACGGGACTCGTTTTTTTAATTGATTGACTATATGGTTAACGATTGGAGTTAGATTTTCTGGTAATCTTTTATTGATTTTTGTTTGTTTCCTAAAATTTATATTTTTTTTGCTTCAGATTAAAAGTATTATCATGGCGCAGAGTTCAATCAAAGAAGCCACCGTCAACAAGTGGATCAAAGATAATCTGGAGCTATTTTACGACCATGCCTGTGGATTAATTTACTGCTCTAAATGCGAAGCAAAGCGTCCAAAGACATGTAGAAGGAGCAGTACATAAAGGCACGAAGAACGAGCGCCACACTCCTTTAGAATTTTACATCGACTTAATCGAATTTATGATTCTTTGTCACATACCATGGTCCCAACTGAGCAACAATGTATTTAAAACATTTTTTCAAAAGAACGTGTGTTGCAATTGCAAAAATATTGAACTACCTAGTGAATCCTTATTAAGAAAAGTTTACCTGGATCAGCTTTTTAAAATAGATGAGCAAGAGATGCAAAGTAAGATTGTAGATAAAAAGCTATGGCTTTCAGTAGACGAAACTACGGATTTCTTAGGAAGAGCTGTCGTTCATTTGTTGGTGAGACCATTACAACCTAGTAGGTGCCATCAGCCTTACTTAGTGGCATATAAAATGCTAGATACTCTAAATGGAACAACGATATCACAATTTGTTCAAGATTCTTTAAACAATATTTGGGTAAGTTCATTTGAGAGCAAACTAGATAACGTTAGAATGTTATGTACAGACAGTGTGGCATATATGATATCAGCTAGTAGAATTTTAAAATCAACTTTTCCAAAAATGTTGCATTTCACATGTTTAGCAGATGCTCTAAATCTTGTTGCGGGGCAGATTAGAAAGAAAACCCTAATGTTGACAGTTTAATTTCAAATATGAAAAAGGCACAAAATTTCAAATTTTTTGAAGGCACCAATGAAATTAAATCTGTATTGTCTGTGCTGAACAGTCAAGAGGCAAAATCAATAGAGAATGCTTTAAATTTTTTTAATAATAATGACAACATTAAGGATGATTTGTCTCGTATTTACGAAAATTTTTCAATTATACCAACAGCTTTGACATCACTACAGAAACCCGATCTTTCTCTAATGGAATCATTTGAAATATTTGATGCAGTGAGATTAGCTTTGAGATGGGCAAATTGTAAGAGCTTAGAAGATAAAATGGAAAAAGTGATGGATAGAAATCCTGATTTGGATACTATCAGAAATATAGCAGAAAAAATTTCTTCTTGCACTAATGACGAGGAGGAGGAAGTGTATAAATTTGCTAACCTCGCCTCAGTTAACGTAGAGCGATCTTTTTCAATGTACAAATGGATTTTAAATGTTTGGAGAAATTCATTGAAGCCAAAAAATATTGAAAAGCTTATATTTAATTCTCACAAAAGTTATACAGTAATGTTGGAAGCGAACACTTCAAATCTCACTGGTAATCAATCGGACAAAGAAAATGATTCTGATGGGCCGTTTGAATAGGCAAAACCTCATGAGTCTAGGCTAGAAGCAAAAGTATTCGCTCGTATTTATAAAAAAGGCGAAAATGCGTATGAGAATTTGCTTAAGACTATCAATAATTTGTATTGTAAATTAATGTAAACTAATAAAAATTTTATGTTAATTATCTTTTTTTTATTTGTCTATCTCTGACGTGACGAAACTCAAACTATCTATCTGTTGATTTGATTGTAATTAGAGTAAAATTTAGTTATATCTATGCCCAGTAACGAAAGGTAAACAAAATGAAATTATAATTATTACTTTTATATCATTTATTCAGACTTGGTTGGACAGACCTCAACTTGAAGGTTGAGGGTAGGTAAGGGGGCTTAGAGCGTAATTGTTGTAGGCTACTCGGACCTGCACCGGCATCGTCCATATTTAATAAAACTTAACAACAAAAACAAAACAAAAATAAAACAATAACAACTTAATCACGGAAAACGGAAAAACAACAAGAAAGGCAGTAGCATTCACAATGGATTACAATCCCAGATTACGTATTTTGACAATTACGAATACATCATAGCCTGACAAAATTAAAAAACTGTACTGCCGAAACGTTTGAAGGGATTAGGCAACATTTTAAATTTGGTAGAATTATAGTGACATGAGAATCGTGCCGAAACTATCCAACCCTGCTTCTTTAGGTTCTTTAAGATGAACACTTTTTATTGTAATAGCTATTAAATCTTTTAAGTTAATCATATACTTATAAATTTGTTTAATAGATAGCTTAAATGATAACAGTTAAGTATAGCAGCTGGTATTTAAGTGAATATGTAGCAAATTAGCAGTCAGTCTTAAGAGTAACATGATTATTGATATTTTGTCATAAAGTATACCACAAAAATAACCTTATTTAACTTCTGCCTAATGCTATAATGAATGGAGTATAGTAATTATTATTATTATATTTTATTCACAGTAGGCATATTATATCCATGTATAATAACAATCTTACTACTTAGAATTTGAATAAAAAGTTTGGTAGGTTAAATTATTTTTAAATAAGTTTTTTAATAAAATAATATAGAAAAGTATTACCTTTACCCGTTATATACATAATATTACTTGATACACAACAAAACTTATCATTGATTTTTACTCCTCGTAATTTTGTGACGACGTAATCACTATTAATCGATTAATAATCGGCAAACATAAATCCATCCATTTAACTTTTATGGTGATTCACTCATCGCTATTATGTGATTTCTGTGCCTTCCGTTTCGACATCTTTTGAGTGAATCAAAAACACCAAAGAAGAGTTAAAATGTTTAAAATACAATTTTATTGTATAGACGACTACGTAGAGCAATATACTTATAACTTAAAATACTAAATGCGATCACACTAAGATCCCTTTGCCTTAAACGATTTCACTACTAGTCTTGATTTTGACATTTGACGTATACGTTTTTCGTCGATTGGTGATGTCGAGTGATTGAGTTGAGTGACCGCTAATAATTTTAGTGTAGAAAATTAGCGTAATTCGTAATAGTTCAAAGATACACATTAACCATTATATATATTTCGAACTAAAGTAATTAATGTCATTGTATCTTTCAGCCTCTTCCTTACATGTTAGAGATTTTAATATTTATTTCACATTCACATCTCAGATCCGGAAACCTACTTATTAGTGAGTTGTAAGAATATCATTACTTGCTTTATCAATATAAATGTAATTTTCCAAATAGCCCCTTTTAAATTATGTCCCCTAGTCAGGCAACGACGTTGTTATTTGATTTTTTACAGGCTGAAGAGGCGAAGTTGCTGTGCTTTTATTAGTCTGTCATGTGGATTTAGATTAGAAGTGTTATTCAAAATGTTCAGAAGCAAAATAAGAATACACACATGTCGAATAATATTACTGACATCTCTTGTGTGGTTGCTAGTGGATGTTGTGTTGTTAGCAATGTATTCAGACTGTTTTGGTGATGGATGCAACAAAAAATCTAGTGATTATCCTGTAAAGGTGAGTAATTTACTAATTCCTTTAACTGTAATGAAGAAAAATCTGAAGCTTTTGATTGCTAAAGATGGTATGACATGATTGGAAGTACCCACAAATAATTTTATACTAGGGAAAGCTTTAAAATATACTTATTTTGTAATATAAAATCTTTTTTATAGCTGCTAATATTTAATTAAGGCAATCTATTTTCTCTGCCTAACCTGCAATGGATCCTGTGTAAGGATGTGTAAAGTAAATATTATTAGATATTAGTACAATAATACTTCATGTTACTACAAAATGACAAATTTTTCAGTTAATCTGATGTCTGTATTATTAGCAACAAATTTGTTTTGATAAGAATTTTCAATGAAGATATAAGAAGTATTGTCACATATATTTTATTTTAGATTAAAGAACAGTTAGGAGGGAAAAAAGCTGCAATAGCAGCGGCATTACAACACCACATTGATGATGATGATACTAATTTGGAGGAAAATGAAATTGAACCTGATGTTGGGGAGGATGGTCTTGTTTTATCTGCATACCCCAAATCAAGGTTAAAGAGGTGGCAGAGAGTACCTGCTGTGCTACCCCAGGGAGAACTACCCGGAGAAATGGGTAAGATATATTACAGATATACTGGTGCCATTATTTATATCCCTATCTCTAAATTTATATGAACTGAAATTAACAAATAATGAAATTTATGTTATTCCTTAATCCTCAGCATAATGCTGATATATGATAGATATGCTTCTATTTTTTAATTAATTTTAGAATTGGAAAGGTAAGACAATATGATTGATACTAAATTTAGTCTAGTTTGAGAAACAGAATTGCTACCTTTGATTTGCTCGGTTTTTATTATTGTTCACTTAGTTGTTGTTTTTGAAATGCTCATATCAGGAAAATATAAAATAAATATAATGTTTTTTTTTACCATTTACATAGTCATAATAACATGCTTTAAAAATTGGTTCCATGCATTTGTATGACATCCATTGGGATATGGATTTGGCAATAAGATAATGCAATTGCAGTTTTACAGGAAAGTAGTTTTTATTTAAATTATATGATACTTTAAACATTCTTTGGATTTTATGTTAGTGTAAGGAAATAATGATAACAAAATTAATAAGGACAGGATAACTGGTTTGTGAGGTCATATATGACCTTGACTATATTAATTAGTACTTCAATATTACTGCCGTTTTAAAATTATGAGACCTGAGATGAATTATTTGAACATGCACAGAAATAGGAGTTTGCCATACTCTATTCCCCTAGTTCTTCAATATTTACCAAAGTAGAACTCAAGTCGTATTACTCTTTATTATGGAGAACATCACTTGGCCATGTGATTGTTGAAAATACCCTCTAGATATTTTTGTCTAAGTGTTTCACTTACATGCTATCAAAAGATTTGCCTGAAGAATGACAAAGAAACACTTAAAAATATTATAATGATTATAGTAATATTAATTAAATTAAGATTTAAATATAAATAAATATGAGATGTTACATACATTGTTTAGATTTAAAGACGAGTATTGAATGCCCTCATATTATAAAGTATCTGAAACAATGAGGTACCATAACACAAAGACCTGAGATAGACATCTAGTGTGTGGTTTGAACACCGGTTTCAAGGTGTCATCATTTCTGAGGGTGTCTCAGGTTCGATTCCTGGTTTGATGTAGACTTTTCTATATTGTGTCTGGTCTGGGTGTTGTGGTACCTTTTTTGTATCATATACTTCATAATACGGGAGCTTGAGCTATACTCATCTGGATGTCTGAGCAATGTATTTATTTATTTATGAGTCAATCGGAAATCGAACCCAGGACTACAGAGATGGTGGCAACTTGAAACTTTTGTCCTAGCCACACACATTAATATTTCCCGCTATTTATATAAAATTTCGTTATACTTCTGTTTGCTTACATTTAACACGGCACACTTTTCTTGGCATTCACATATTTATGCGAGTGGCAGTCGCCGTGACAATAACTTTCTTTTAACAATAGCAAATATAGTCATTCATACTTATCATCATATTTTTCTCACGTTAGTCAATGATTCACTGTTCATTAACGATTTCGACTCAGGTCAATAAGAACATAAGCTTAGTTAGGTAAAACAAATGTCTAAATATTTTTTTCTATTTTTTAAATTATTCATTTAATACTAGCTTTCCGCCAGCGAATCACTATGTATATTGATGAAAACCGTTTAAAACTCAGTTGTGTAGTTTGAAAGATTTCAGTGTAAAGACAGCGGAAAGCGACTTTGTTTTATGCTAAGTATATGTAAATATGGATAAAAAAACACATTTTCATCATTGTTTACAATCACAGATCTAATCTGGTATGTTGTGGTGTATTGTACTCTCAAAGATATATAATTAACTAGCCTTCCACAAGAAGCTTCGCCCGCGTAATCTAGTTTTAAGTCCAGAAAGGAGAAAATTCCATAAAAAATGTCATCCCTAATGTGCCTTTAGGGTCGAATTTCGTAAAATCCTGTCTTGGTGAGCACCTACGTCCCAAATAGATCCGCATGCAAAATTTGAAACTCCTAGCACTTGTAGTAACGAAGTTTCATACAAACTTTCATCCCCTAACTCAGTTAGGCGTTGAATTTCATAAAATCGCGTCTTAATAAGCACCTACGTCCTAAAAAGAACCCGCATGCAAAATAGGGTGATGACTAATTTTTGTTTGTTTGTCCGACAGGTAGAGTGTTAAAAAATATTAAACACGTATTATTTTATTTTTTTCGTAATCATAAAATTACGGCGTTACATGGAGTTGAAATTTTGCATGACGTCACGTTATGGTACGTTTTCTACTCAACTGTGACGTAGCGAGCCCCCGCTCCTCAACTTTAATGCCTGTTATCTAAGCTATTTCTTGTTAAATTGAAGTAAAAAAAAAAAGTATCCAATCTTTTTCTATTATCTGACTGACGGACTAAATAGAATTGCATTTTTTTTACCCAGTCGTCATCCCTATTTGAAACTCCTAGTACTTGTAGTTTCTGAGATTTCGTGATGAGTGAGTGAGATTAATTACATATAGATATAAGTAGATTAATTAAATGGCAATTTAAAAAAAATACAATTGTATACAACACGGCTAAAGTTAATAAAAAATTGAGAACTGCATTTGACCCAATTTTGCCGCTTTGACTCTAATATTAGTTGTGTATCAGGTACTAGACAAGTTCGCTCCAGTTCTCTACCCCCAATAAATTTATAGACAGACGCAGTCACTTTTGATTATAAGATAGTTATTGAGAATGATGATTAATGAAAGAAAAAGAAAAGTACAAAAACGTACGGCAAACGTACGGTTTTACAACTCCATCGCCCACCGCCCTTTGGGCTCTAGGCTAAATAAGCCCCTACTGACAGTCGATAGTTTCTCATTTCGCTCCTTCTTATATGAATTAATAATGTTGAAATATATCTAAAGTAATCCCACTGCTTAATGTTTCCTCAAATATTAATTCGGACTATTTTTCTGTTGGAGTGTTCATACGTAACAGGGCACTGAGGAAAACACTTGAAAAACTTAGTTTTTCATAACTTATTTTTCTTTTGTGGCATATAAAACACGGTAAAAAAGCTTGTTTAGTATGGTTTAGAACTATGATATGTCAAGTATTTTCACCAGTTTTACGTTATGTACACCCCAACCTATTTTCCAACATTAGGTGTGACTCAAATCAAATCAAATTAAAATCATTTATTCAATCTAGTTAGTAGTAGTTTTATCTGAGTGGTAGACTCAGTCAACCAAATATTTATGTTGCATTATATGTCTAAATTGTAATGTGACAGTGTGTGCTCTAACTGTAACTAGTTTTTAAACGTACTAATTTCATAATATTACGTCGATTCTATTATATGAAGAGAAAATTACAAGTCTCCACAGTAAATTTAACAAAAAAAACACTTATCAATAAAGTGGATGAGATTAAAAGTTCCCTGATAAATCAATGAAGACGTTAATTTAATTTCGCAAGCGCCTGTTATACCCCCCATCCTGGGTTACCACAAATTTTTTATTGTTCCTCCTGCCTATCCTTCGGAAAGCACATGGTGCCGGCTACATTTGCAGTCCGCATTCCAATCCGCACTGGGCCTGCTTAATGGGCCATAGCCCGTTCACCATATTCGATTCGTTTCCATCCATAGGGAAGACCCGTGCCCAGGAGTGAAGAGGCTGATGATGATGACTAGATACTGCTCCTTCGTGATCTAAAGGAAATAATGAACTCTACAGCCTCCTACGTCGTCATACAAATAATATTATAACAAACAAATGACCACATTTACCTATAACTGGCTTTCCGCCAGCGGCTCGTCCGCGTTCAGTATTATGTTTACTAAGTGGGCTAGTAGCGAATCAGTTGCAACGTAAAGTTGTCAAGAGAAACAGACCGTTTGATTAGACCCCTAGTGCCTGAGCGATATTAATCCACATTATAATTCGTTGTTTATTTATTTAAGAAAACGAACAGTCGTTTACAAAAAATGTATCAGCGTACAGATAGAAGGAATCCACTTTGTTTTTTACTTATATATTGTGGTTGGCATTACGTCACATCAAAAGTATGCATTAGATCTCGATTTTTAACTTTTAGTCTATTACAGGTAAAGCCGTCAACATTCCAATAGAACAAGAGAAATTGATGTTGGAGAAGTTCCAAGAGAACCAGTTCAACTTGTTAGCAAGTGACATGATATCATTGAACAGATCACTCACCGATGTAAGGTTCGAAAAGTAAGTGTTTACCTTTATTATACTAGCTTTTGCCCGAGACTTTGTCCGCATGGTATTAGGCAGTATTTCTAAAAACGCAAATACAAATATTTATTCATTGTATCGTGTAAAATACCTGAATATAAAGTTTCATGATTTTATATTTGAAAATGACGAACCTCCATACAAACTTTAATAGGGATGATGACTATTTTTTGTTTTTTTGTCCGTCAGGTTGAGTGTTAAAAAATATTAAACACGTTACATTGAGTTGAAATTACGGCGTTACATTGAGTTGAAATTTCGCATGACGTCACGTTAGAGTACATTTTCTACTCAACTGTGACGTAGCGAGCCCCCATTCCTCAATGGGGGCTCGCTACGTCACAGTTGAGTAGAAATTTAATGCCTGTTATCTAAGCTATTTCTTGTTAAATTGAATTAAAAAATACGTATCTAATATTTTTCTATTATCTGGCTGACGGACTAAATAGAATTGCATTTTTTTTACTCAGTCATCATCCCTATTCCTTCATCTCAACCTTTTTATCACAATAAAAAGCAACCTATATCCTATGTCCTCAAGTGAACTCTGTTTAGTTTGTTAGGCGTGATAGCTCTGCAGACATATACACATACCTACTTTCGCATATATAATATTAGTATGGAATAATGAAACGATTCTCCTTGTAGTTAATTACATCATATAATGAGAGATTATCAGACAGTTACCAAAATAAATAGACTAAGAACAATATAACCTACTATTGCTTAGTTGACTTTTTAACTCACAGCAGTTTTTTTTTCGAGTTTAAATTAACGAGATGGAGGAGAGAGGTTTTTGAGTGAAGTAATGAAAAAAAAATTGACGTTAATAGGTATATATTGAATATGTTGTAAGGAGCTAAAAAAAATATAAGATGTACATAATGAAAAGATTAGTACTTGAAACTTTTTTGAAAAATTTCAATTTAAAATGTTATTTTTGTTATAAATTATGTACTTTTCATCACCATATAAGGAAATCTTTATAAATAATATTAGATATATTTATTAATGACAAATCAAAGAGTAAACAATGGTTGCTATGGTAACATTTTAATTCCCCTTAAAAACTTCCACTCCCATTTTCATCCTTTTAGTGCGGGATAAAATATAACCTCAAATACCAATTTTCATCGACATAGGTCCAAAAACAAAGAAGTTTCATACAAACGTTTTCACCCTTTTAAGTTTTTCAAATATTTCCAAAAATCCATTTTTAGTACGAGGTGTTGTACTACGTAATAAGAGAAATGCATCTGCCAAATTTAAAATCTCTACGACCAGCGGTTTAGGCTCTGCGTTGTCCGTCAGTTAGTATGTCAGGACATCTCTTTTTATATATGTTTAGATTACTGTATATGAATAGCAAACAAAAGGTGGATTTATTGAGATTAATGTATTTATCATTTAACAATGTAAGCAGTGAAGAATATATTTATGGTGAAACAAAATGTATTTTCGGAATACGAAAATATTGTTACGAAACAAACCTTTCGCAAAGTATCATAATTATATTTAAATATAAATTAAATGCAATCAGAGTTCCTAATTGATTCGATAAAAATAAGTTACATGGTAGCAACCCCGTAAATAACTAAGTACTCGTAGTTATTTCTAACTCTGATGTTACTAACCATGAAAGTTAAAACAACATATGATACACAATATCCCTAGTATTTTACTAAAACAAATGAATGAATTGAAAGTGAATTCTGAAAGTATGGGAGAATAGTTTTAGCGGTTTTGGTCAAAGGTTGAAGGCGAACGTTCACTTGAGTTTAACAAATTCATTAGTGTAGTGTCGTAATAGTCGTGTCACGTTCGTATCGGACAATTGCTATTTATGAAGACATCTGTTGTAAAATTATACTTTTCTCATCGATGTCGCAATGCGTTCCCTGTATTCTATGGGACAATTTTTAAAGAGAAAGGGTTGAGGGTGCGTGAGAAATATTATATAATAAAATGCGTTAAAAGCACTATATAATCTAATTTAAATCAGTATTTTTAAATGTTAAATGTGACGAGTTTAGAATTATTCTAGTAGATGACTCAATAAATGTATATATTGATGAGAGTGGATGCGCTGTGTACCTTGAATTATATATAAATGCGAAACGCATCAAACCTTTGTCATTCAAACCAGTATTGTATAAAGTTAAACCAGCCGCACGTTGTCGGTTAAATTATTAAACAACTCTTGTCCAAATGGTGTAGTGCTTAAAAAGATATTTAATTTCAAACCTGAGTTCGGTTACAAATTCATGAGTTCAATTAAATACTTGGTATTTATCGCTTTTTTTTTATACCCGAGTCTGAAAAATAAGGGATTGTGTCTAAAGATATGCATCCACCATTTGGTAACAGCATACCCATGCGTTATAGAGAGGTTAGGGCGCAGAACGCTATTACGAATGCCGAGGTCGTACAATTGCCAGAGCGTGTGTAATTTTTATGTAGGTCCGAAATCGTCTATTATAAGAATCTATAACTTTTCGTCAGCACGACAGTAGTTTCTGTTTGGGACTTCAAGTAAGCATTATAAAAAGTATCCTATCTATGTTTAGGGGTCATCCATAAATTACGTCTCAATTTAGAGGGGGGGGGGGGGGGGACAAACTGTGACGTTAGAACAATATTTCCTAGAATTTGTATAGATAAATAGGTGACAGGAGGGGGGGATTTTGGATATTGTGTGATGTAATTTATGGACGGCCCCTTAGGTAAACAATATACAGGGTAAATAATAATAAATGAAATTAAAACATGGAGGCCTCTTTTGGAGGGCAAATAAAAAAACAAACAATATTAAATTATTTTTACCTTCGACCACTATACCAGTACAGTCAAGATTTGTATCATGAACAAATAAAACAAACACCATAAGTAGAATACGTTATTATAACGCAATGTTGATACGGTTCAGTAAATTTTATATCATAAATGAAAATGGGTACATGATGAAAATTATTGTAAGTGTAATGTGACATAAATGTTTTGTCACATGGCAATCCGACATGCTGTATAACTTTTCAAACTATTTGTTGTACTTATTGTTTAGGTTTATTTAGTCGCATGGTATTTTATAAAACTGAATAAAAAAAATAGTGCTATCGAGTCGTGTTGGTCATATCTACGTAAACATATCTTTATTATTGCTGTACCTAATTACAAAATTAAATGCGGCACCATCAACACAGATATAATATTATACAAAGCAGCCTTTGCATCACCTCACTAGAGAACCGCTCTAGCAAAAAGAATTTAAATTCTCCTGGCCCTGAATCGAATTGGTTTGTATTTCATCTTTAGAAGACCTAGAAAACCCATTTTCACAAGTTTCTTATCAAATATCACGCATGTAATGTACATATATAGAAAAACTACAACACTTGCCTAATACAAAAGTAAATATATTCTACAATTTCTTTTTAACATAAAAACCCGGGTAGACGCATAACTACTGCACTATTAAAATTGTAGAATAGTATATGTCATTTCATTACCTATAATTACATTACCAGTCCTTTACATAAAAGAAACGATGACATTTTCAACGATAAATAAACAGCGAGAGACTGTAGATGTGGGGCTGGGGCTGCACGCCTATCCCACTAGCGATAAGTTCCTTTAAAACCGTCGCATCTTTTTCTGTCAATATTTCGCTCGACAAGTATAATAAAATAAAAGTATAATATATAATCAAGTTAAGAATTCAAAGTAGCTTAGCAGACCCGTCTCGACTCCGTTAGAGCGATATTGCACATCTTAGAGAAATGGGTAGGTGCAGGATAGAATATTCCTATTAGTCTGATAATGTTTATGGATAAAGAAAAAAAAAAATTAAAGTTTTCTACAATTTTTATAATATCGCGAACACGGCCTAAACTTTTTTCTTTACTATTTTTGATTTGGACATGAGAACTTCTGTCAGGGTCAGTCACTTTTTAATAAATACGTATATTCTTTCACAATGTCACTTGTATTAGTCTACTCACAAGGTTGGTAGCTTGTGTTATAAAAATTTGAAACAATGATTATTAAAACCAAATATTGAATAAAATAAAAGATGTCGAATAGTATCCCAATTAGTTTAAGTTGTATATATGGCCTGATCGGGATTCCACTCCGTACTAGCATGGAGACGTTTGGTCATAATTCGTCTGCGGTATCGGCATCATGTTATTATGTATATTTGATTGTAAATCAAGCATTGTTTTATTATTATATTCGCGACCAAGGACGACGCTAGACATCGATTTGTCTTACATAAATCGCTTAGAAAGTGTTTGTAAAACCGGTTATTATTATGGCTTTTATAGCGCACGGCTGCTTGCAATATGCCTATTGAATTGGTATACACCTAATAGTCTATTTCACGGATTACAATGCGTTTTGGTGAACTAATTGAACACTTGTGTTGAACAAATTGGTGGTTGTTTTTTAATTTGCACCTCTATCAATGATAAGTAATAATTAACCTAGTGTAACGCGAAAAGTTTTCCAACACAAGTAACTCATATTTGCACATCGTGTTTGTTGAGCGTCGGCCTATTAATGAAGAAATCCCGCAAACATTTTTTTTACGATTGTCATTTGATACCATTTTGCGTCTTCCACTTTGTATTCAAATCGAACGATTTGACCTGTGTACGTGCATCTTACATTATTTTATTTATAACAACACAAATATTTTTCCCGTAAGAACTCTTATAATTGATAGTCTCCAACACATAACATTATGCATTAATATTTGGAGAATTTAATTTAAAATGTTGATGAATTAGTCCTATTTAATACTGATTAGATTCGAAACGAGGTCAGCTATAGGTATGCACTGGGCAACGCACGGTCGTCTTATTAAGTGCAAAAAATATATTAAAATTTGTGATATTTTGATAAAAATTTACTGTAGTGTTAGTATATACAGACAGCATCACCACCAATTATAAAACAAAATCCCGGGTATTTGTCCGAAAGTGTTAAAACCTATTTTGTGGATTAGTGTTAATTGGTGTATATTTCAAGAAGTTTGTATTTAATTATTGACTGAATTGTGAAATTAATTGTTATAGATGTAAACATCTTGCCGACTTACAATTAATAACTAGTCCAAAATCGGGACTGGTTGTTAACGTTAAACAATTTTGATAACAAATCTAACTTTATAGAATCCATAATATGTCTTTACATTATCCATATAACTATGAGTCTATTTTACATGATTGAAACGATTCACTGATTCATATGGAGAGTATCCTCTATAGGCGCGATAAGTCAAGCGAAGCCAATTGTTTTCGCTATTGCATGCTTCCTTCGCCGAATGAGAAATGAGTCGACGATAATTGTTTATAATGTAAATATGTAAACGTTATGTTATCTTATCACTGTGTTATACTCGAGATCCTAGGTCCTGGTTTTGATTATCACAATTTTACCATCTATCATGATCAAGACCCATAAACACTGTCGATTTTTTTTTTGTAAATGAAATACAGAGTAACAATTGTATATGTCGTGGAGTTTCTTGTACTCTATGTCAAATGGACTACCTATTCAAATATTGTATTGAGGCTGCGAATTTGAGTAAAAATTTTATTCAGTTTTTTTCTGACTAGATCACATCGAATTTCGTTTGTCAAGATTATATTGATTAAGATTTAATACGCACCACCGCTGAATTTTCTTAAATGTTCCCTCAAATAGTGTGACAGGTTGATAGCTTCCCGCCTTTATTATCAAAAATTTATTGATTATTTATTGATTAAAATTAAATGTAATTTGATTTTAATCGCTTCCTGCTGTCTGAGTGGAGTTCGTTGCCGTTTTATTTATATTAGCTAAATGAATCAAACGAATCTAGTATCTAATAAAAAAAATATCCCTTCTTGTTGATTCAATTACATTAAATTAGGCACACATCTTTAGTTCTGATGACAATACACGTATGTGTATCTGAATACACATATGTGTATTGTAATACTGATATTAGTGTAAGAAAATCCAAGATGCTCGCCGTAATTAACTGGCAGATTACAACCTTTTATATCCCCCTTATTATAGTTATCAAATACCTTTTAAGGCTGTCTTGTATGGACTGTAATTTTAATTTACTTATCGTCTTTCTCTTTAGATGTAAAGACAAACCGTATCCAGAGTTACTACCTACTACCAGTGTAGTAATAGTATTCCACAACGAGGCATGGACCACCCTTATCAGAACCATCTGGAGCACAATTAACCGTTCTCCAAGACCTCTACTCAAAGAGATCATACTCGTCGACGATGCCAGTGAAAAAGGTATTAATCTATTACCGCTATGTAAGGTTCAATTTTAAGCAGGTTTTAAATAGGTTTCTACTAATCAACAAATAATAAAAACGCGAGGATGGAGGCCAACTAATTACTGTTTTTTCCCAATGAATATTTATAATTAAAATTATCACAAGTTGTGCTAGAAAAATAATAAGTTTATTTATAAATATTTATTGAACATGTTTGATAGAACGTCGGATTTCAACTTCTTGGTCAACCTACTCAATTTCATTTAGGTAATCTCTGGTCATAGATTTTAATGCGGTGATTTCTTATTCATGTGAGTATGTAGGTACTCAAGTGAGCATTATATCTATTATTGTACATTTTTCTCCGTAGAGCACTTGGGCAAAAAGTTGGAGGACTATATAAAGACTTTGCCGGTGCCCACTCGATTGTTCCGCACTGAGAATCGTTCAGGACTCATTAGAGCGAGGCTGCTGGGCGCCAAACATGTCAAGGGTGACGTCATCACATTCCTCGACGCTCACTGCGAATGCACTGGTAAGATAATCATTTTCTTATTTTTCATAACGGTAATACTCTTTTCGGGTAAAAGTGCTTTCTGTTTTATTAGTAAATAATATAGACATAAAAATCATTGTTCCAATTTCAAGATAAAAACTAAATTTTATGTGTTATGAATATCTAAAAGAACGAAGATAACACGATTAAAAAAAATAAAATTGTGTGAAAACATAAAAAAAGGAATTCATATAACTAATTATTTGCAAATAGTCGATTCTGAAAAAGAATACGGATGAATGGCTGCCTTCTTTCATATTTTATGAAAGCAATTGTTATTCATGCCGCGACTACATCACATTCCTATACGCATTATTAAAGAAATAACTAGAATGGGTAAGATAATTTGGACGTCTTTTATCTTTATTTGGGATTATATTCATATTGAATATGTAAGCTACAACCAATAAAACCACTTAAACTGAAGTCATTTTTTACACTTTTAAGAAAATATGACTGTAGCTATTTTATATATTTCTTTATACGAAATAGAAAAAATATTATTACCATTAGATAAATATCTTTAATACTGTTATTGAACACTCGTAGTAGACCTTGATTAGAAAACTTGCTGATTAATAGATAAATGTCTATTCTATTATATATTAACGGTCTTATCTGAAACGGTCTATATGTAAGTAATAGTAGATTGATTTATATTCCTGCTTGTTATATTTTGGAATAAATGAATAGACTGACTCGTTCCCGTGTATTGATACTGTGTTTATGACGTTTGGAAAACTAAAACTTAACATTAATTTGTATTAAATAGCCATCAATAAGTATCAATACATTGAATGTTAAAACAATTCGAAATAAACTGTTCACTTTATTTGTTTGCGTGTGACACGAAACAGTGGTGCATGCAGCTAAACAGTACAATTTTTTTAATTTATAGTGGACCGTATAAGGAACTTATCACTTTTACGGAATTTTAAACCCTATTGCAAAACTATCAAACCATAACTTTTATTAAAAACTATGTTAGTATATTCGAAATAAATTCTATTGTCTGCTTTTTTTTAAATAAATGCTATCGTTTTAAATAAGAATTATTGAAAGACTAAATAATATAAAATAAATATGATCCACTACAATATTCTCGTGTGAAGAAATTCGTCCGTTGGAAGCGTTCTTTCACTTTCAAGTGGTTTTATTTTAAGACTAATAACGACAGGTTAGCCATTTGGTACCGAAATAGTACCATCCTAAATTTGTACAGGAAGAGGTGGCATAGAATTAAATAAAAGTATAGAGAATCATACATTTTGAACATTGATTTTGATAAATATCATTACCTATCTATTTTCGCGCGAGTTCACCCTTGTAAATTATATGTCACTCGCGTATGGTGTAGCGTCCCGTTGATGAAAGAATTTTTAAAATTGGCCCAGAGAGATTTAATTTAATAATTATTAAGGGCCAGTTTCACCGGTTACTGATAAAGTTTCAGATAGTTATCTGATAGTTAACGCTATCTACCGGATAAAGGTTGCTGTTAACTTTTTTCTGTTTCACCATCAAACTGCTAGATAATTTATCTGGCAGATAAGTTATCGGCCACTTATTAGTTGACGGAATGGCAACGTCGCTTTTTTGCGTTTCAATACTACGACCCAAATTATCGTCAATCAAAAATCATTTTTAAAACTTAATTAATATATTTTTTTATGTTCAATATTATTTAAGTAAACTTTTTTCACATATTTTGAATTATAATTTTATGATTCTAGAATGAAAATAATACGATATTCGTATACTTAGCTACGTGTTTACAGAAACGAAACGCAACTGTCATATGTTTTGCTTTGTTGATATTTTGTGCTTAAAATCTTTCATTCATTTCATTTTCATATTTCATGTAAAATTAATTTATTTACTTGACATTGGCAGAATCGTGCGAAATGCTCAGATAAGCCATTAATTAAAAAAAAAGAAGAAGAAGACGCTTTTCATTTTTTAAACTTTTCTTTGTGTATTCTTTTCGTATTTGTTAATTAATAATGGAAAAACAAAAACGTGAAAGAAGTGTGAATTTTAATCAAGAAGAAACGGAGCTTCTTTATTTTTTACTTAGTAACCCGTTGTAGTTTTTATATCACTTTCTATTAACGATAAAATATAAACAACAGCCCGTTTGGTAAGCCGAAATCGATTCCTAAAAATCTTGATCGTCAAGTGATTCTAAATAATTAGGTCTAGGGTTAATTACTCGATTTCTACGGGGTCGCGTAATATGTTCGAAATATTCATCTAATTCGTCTTCTAAAAACTCAAATAAATCCATTTTAGAATATTTGTGACACTCGTGACTGCAATCGACGCAAAGCACACAATAATGGTCTAAAACTAAAACTATTTTCGTTCCCGCTACTTGAAACTTTTTTTTATCTATCAGATAACGTCTATATCAGCCACTTGAATCGGCTGATAACATATCTAACACTTTATCTGCCAGATATTTTTATCCGAGACCTGTGAAACCAAAAGTTATAGTTTATCTGGCAGATAAGTTCCTGATAGACTATCAGGGACTTTATCAGCAACCGGTGAAACCGGCCCTAAGAGTAGTCAAAATATCTCTGTCTTATAGATAACAAAAAGTAGTTGATAAATATATTCTTCAACGTCAAAATAATACAAAGTTACTACATGCGTTTTGTGAAATAACATATACATTTTTTTATGTTTTCAATGATTCTGCTGGTCACCTAGCCAGCTATTATAATATTCTTCTTTTAAATACTACCCTTTTTTGCCAGTGTCGTTATACTCGCAATACCATACTCACTTGTCTCTTGAATGTGTAGCAATATTTATAAGTGAATTAAGCATAAGACAGCTAATTACACTGGTAAACAGTATTTTTGTTAAACAAAATCGAGTCAGTTTTTTAAACACTACTACCTACCCGCATATAAACCTCATACTTAGTTTTGTTCAATCACCCTCAGTTTTCGTTAAACATAAACTAAATTGATTACGCGAATTTTGCTTACCGACGTATGTTTCCGATAAATTAATATTGAATTATTGAAATTAAAACGGTTTTTTTTTTGTGATTGTCGTTTCTGTACATCGTAATAAGATGCCCAGAGTGTGTGTAAACCATCCTGATAACTTTTGTTACATTTGCGGTCAACTTACTATTAAAAGTCAACGTCGTAATTTGACACCATTAGTTAAAAACTGTTATTTTAATTATTTTGGCTTTCCGGTGCGAAATTTGGACAAAACCTAGACTCCTAGTGTTTGTTGTGCACAATGTGTTAGTTTATTAACATCATGGGCTAAAGGATCTCGTCATATGCCGTTTGCAGTTCCAATGATATGGTCTGAACAGAAAGACCATGTATCAGATTGTTATTTCTGCCAAACTTATATCAAAGGTATTAATCACAAATGTAGACACACCGTGAACTATCCGAATTTACAATCTGCTCAAAGACCTATCCCACACAGTGATGATCTGCGTGTTCCTCAGCCTCCAGTAAACACGGATGACGTGATTGATGAAGAAAATGAATCTGAGAATTCTGATTCCGATCCGACTTTTGAGCCCAGCACTTCAAATACGGTACCTCATTTTGTAAATCAAAACGATCTCAATGACCTTGTATGTGATTTGGATCTCAGTAAAAGACAGGCAGAACTCTTGGCTTCCATTTGATTCCATCAGGATATATCCAACATGGAAAAACGGTACCAAGGCAAGTGGAGTCCGAACATGTTGGCTGATTACTGTTGGACACTCAAAAGAGATGTACCTGACGCTAAATATTCCCGAAAATCCTGAATAAAAGTCAAATGTTAGTTGTTTTTCTTGGTTAAATTCAATTTTCAACCATAGTTACTTAAAAAAAAGTGTATTGCAGTTGCAAGAAAACTGAGGGTGACTGAAACTTTTTAAAAATGCAGATTATTAACAGGCTACATTAGATACAAAATATCCCATTCAAATTAATTTAACTTTCATTAAGGTCATTTTTGTCAATCAGTGTTATTATCTAAATCGTGGCTCTAATGCGCCACGACTAAAATTACGAAAGAATCTTTAAGTCACCGATTTCTATTACAACCATATTACAACTTGATAACATTTGTCGTTTAATGCGTGACCGTAGCGTTGTATTGTATCACGATTATTGTTTTTGATTTTCAACAGTCAATGAATTTTCGCCTCTATTACAATATCAAAACCTGTAACAACAATTATAAGTATTAATTTTATAGATACTTTTTTACTTAAAAATAGAATTCTTAATTTTGTGAATAAATTTTGATCCCCATATATAATAACTATAGCTAATAATGTTTCTTGCATAGGGATGGCTTTAAGAATAGAATTCTTTGTTTTGTGACACTTTTCATTTAGGTACAGTAATTCCCATATAGGTATAATAACTATAGCTAATAATGTTTTTTGCAGAGGGATGGCTAGAGCCGCTCCTGGCGCGTATAGTAGAAGACAGGACGACTGTCGTATGTCCGATTATCGACGTCATATCGGACACAACGTTCGAGTACATACAGGCATCGGACATGACGTGGGGTGGATTCAACTGGAAGCTAAACTTCAGATGGTAAGCTTGACAAAATATGTTCGGTCGTTAGTTGTGTCCTAATCAAACCCATGATTGATATGCATACGTACTTGTATTTTCTATGTATCCTCTTTAAATTATAAGCTGATTGTAAAAATAATAAGTATATAAAACAGCTAGACGTTAGAGGGGTATAACGGGGCAGTCTTACTAATATTATAAAGGCGAAACTTTGGATCTTTGTTAGTTCTTGACGCAAAAACTATTGACTGGATTTTGATGAAATTTCGGATACGGATTATTCTAAACTTGGATTAACTTATGGGCTACTCTATTCATCCAACTGATCAGTTCCCTAGAAACCACGCGGGTGAACCCGCTGGCGGAAAGCTTGTTTTAAATACATTGTTAAATACATGGTTATTTTTAAAACACCCGTAACGTCCCCGTACTAGCTAGCTAATATGAACAACTACATTTGACCTACGAGTTTTAACTCAATACTTTGACACAAAAACGATTTATTATTTTTTTTATATTACTATTGCAATATTTATTCATTAACAAAGAGACGACGCCATGCTCGCATGCTGTGTGAAATAACTGAATATGAGTGTAGTTAGTAGAGTTACTAACGCTAGTGTGGGGTAAATTATTAAAACTCGTAGAATGAATTTTGATGTTTTCGATGTTGGCTTGTCATATGACTAACGTGACAAATCAGAGTTTGGAAGATCATGTATTCTTGAATTTATAGGTTGCCTCCTTTTCTGACCACGCCTAATACCTTCAAAGACACCGTGATTGACAACCAAAAAAGGTCCAGTACTTTCGGAGCCTATTTGTTACAAACAAACAAACAAATCTTTCCTCCTTATAATATTACTAGTATAGATATAGTTAAAATTATGCGTCAACGAAGTTGTCAGTATGTTTCTTGTGTTTATACTACGGTAATCTATGTGTAATATTTCTTGTTTATAAACACATAGGTGTTGAATTGAAATAGATCGCCATTATAATTGAACTAGGTGCTAGGTTTAATAATTGGTATCAAATCTTTCTATAATCTAGTTTAGGGGGATCTGAGCGAAATTTTGTATACTGTCCTGGTTACATTTTTGCGGATATAGTATTGATTTTTTACACGGATTCTAACAAAATAATAGGGAAGATTCGATATTTTCCCGGATCTTCGTTTGAGGACAATAGAATAGGTTGCAGGTGTCATGAAATTCGTACGAGTTATATGTTTTCATAAACGATAAGACAACACGCTCTGTGAGAAGTACATTTATATCATTGATATTGCGCAGCGTTATTAACATTTAATTTTTATGAAATTTTAAACGTAGCAAATTGTCAAAACTCGTGGAATGAACATTTTTGTTTATGATGTTGGCTATTGAGTGTTTTAAAATTCTGATCACGATTCATGTTGATCTGAGTCGTCCGGCCATAAACCCTATAGCAATTTTAGCGCAAGGTAACAAATGGTTATCAGAGGTTGTGACGTCACAATCTGTGCGCTTGCGAGAGCCGGCTGGCAATTAACGTTAGCATGTTTGAGTTTGATAAGATTTGCAATTCGCAGTATTCAACCTGTTATATAAATATCTTGAGGCTGCCTCATTCTAAACAACTTTCGTATATTCTCGTAAATAATTTATTGATGACGCTTTTGTACATTTTCTACAAAGCTGTGAGAGAACCTCCACTCCTCTACTTTCAAATAGTTTTTTTTTTTCTTTTAAACAGGCTTCAACCATATTATGCGTACTAAATTTCCATTCAATTTGGCCTTTTTCTTTTTTTTTGGTGTGGAACCTTAAAATGATATAATTAAATATGACCCCAAAAACCTTATTAATATTATAAACAGATAATTTTTTTTATTGTTATTAGCTTATCGATACAATTGTACAAATTAGCAAATGTAAATGTTACTACTATTGAAGGTTAAAATGTACTTTTCACAATGGAAATGATTACGCAGTGCTAATAAAACCATTGTTTGGTGTATTGTTTGTAAATATTTATAATGAGCGTGCAAAATCCTGTTTTAATTGTGACATTTGGTACATTTAAATTCCATCTTTGGTTGGTCTATTGATTTCCGAGTTTAATTTCATTTATCCATTGATTTTAATGACTTAGAGTTACGTCACTTTTTTCAACAAGTTTTTAAACAAAAATATAATGTCTAACATTTTTAACTTTAACATGCTATTGTGAGCGTAGAGTAGTTTTCTAGGCTGATATGTACTCCATTCTTGAATGTGTGGAAGCTAATCGCCAAAATAGGTACTACAAAAATCATACCATTTATATTGTATATACTCTGGTAGTCAAGCAGCACTTAATGCAATTCGCCAACATTTGTCAACATTCGAGCGTGATAAGTTCGAAACTGGTAAAGGACTGTATTTACAGATTGAATGAACTGGGGCAAAAGAATAAAATTATTCTTAAATGGGTACCAGGATACTGACATTAGTAGTTAAAATTTTTGTGTAATCTGAAACCAAAAAGATATCATATTTAACGAGGCTAACACTATAGTGGCAAAATAATATAGAAAAGACCATTTTTTTAATCAATATATGATTTGATCGACCGGTAATTGATGCGGAAATTTTGAAGATGGCGACACTTTTAAACCGAACGTGTAAGTAATCGGGAATAGGGCTTACAAAAATCTTCGAGACAATTATTCATGTTCACATGAGGACTTATACCAATAACAATTTACTTTACATATGTTAATTTGTTATCCTACAGGTACAGAGTACCAGAAAGAGAAATGTCCCGACGCGGGGGCGATCGCACGGCACCTCTCCGCACTCCAACAATGGCGGGCGGACTGTTCGCTATCGACCGGGATTACTTCTACAAGATCGGCTCATATGATGAGGGCATGGATATTTGGGGCGGCGAGAACTTAGAGATGAGCTTCAGGGTAACGTATTTCATAGTGTAAAGAATAAAATTCGTAAAATTTTAACACGTTTCTTGATTTCCGTTGAATGTAGGTACATACATATTTTCAAAAAACGATTTATATATCCGCATATGAGTTGTTGCTGTTGCAAAACTTTCAAATTGATAAAAGTGACTAGCGAATATCGATAATTTATTTTCATTATTTCTGCATCAAAAGTAGTATTTGAATGTAGTTCGAGTTTTGATCGAACTCAATAGGTATAGCAAATATCCATAAACAATGCAACCAAAGGTTATGTATTTGCCACTAATAAAGTATCAGAGATATAAATAATTGTCAACGAGAAAATAGTACATTAAAGTAATTATTAATGTCTTGTTATCGTTGAGCTATCGCGTGTTGGTACGGTAGAGTCCTAATATTTCGCGTGCGAACGGAAGGTATGGCAGTGCGGTGGGCGACTGGAGATCGTGCCATGTTCGCACGTCGGCCACGTGTTCCGCGACAAGTCGCCGTACACTTTCCCCGGGGGCGTGCAAAATGTCGTGCTGCATAATGCCGCGCGCGTCGCCGAAGTCTGGATGGACGAGTGGGGCGAATTCTATTACGCCATGAACCCAGGTTCGCTACGGAACTGATGACGCTGCTAGCATTTGTTGATTCACTGAAATGTAGACTCGGGGCTAGTCTTAAATTTTAATATCATTTCTAAGTTTTCATTTTATATTTCAATAACAAAAAAAATACCGTTTCAAAATAATTTCGGTATATTTATTATATTTATAGTAAATTTATTTAATACCTAACTGTCAAAATTAAATAGTACATTTTTTTAATTTTGACGGTTTAAACCTTGATTTTTTTAATCAAAACACTTATTAACGATCGTACTTATCTTATCGTTAACTAGTACATACGATTCAGAGATTTTAAAGTAGTGTCGCTACTTATTATATTCGGTTTTCAAAATGCTAGCAGTCAATTCATTTACTAAAGTTTTGTTGTGGCTTGGGTTGTAACATTGTTGGCTAAAATCATGAATTTGTGTCATTAACAAGTTAAATTTGGATTAGTCATGAGCTTCTAACATAAACCATTGCGGCTGCATTCATCTAAATTGCATGCATTTCTTAATCATTTCATTAATTTTAGCTTCATTACTTTAAAACTATTGCTTTTTCTTTACTGTTCAGTTATCTTTCTTCTCAATAAGTTTTTTCTGAATGGGATTATTTTTTGGATGCTCTTTTGTTGTTGTGTATTTTCTTTCAGCGATTTTATTTTTTCTTTTGCTTCTTCGAAATGCAGAAGCAATGAGGGACACAGGTTTTTAAGAACAACTGGAAGCAACATTTTTAGTTAATTTACCACAGCAATCCTTTTTAGATCAAGAGCTATGTAAGATCTATCGATTGAGATTGATTACTTTATTTCTTACTATTATTAAATGTATGTGTATATTCATATGTTTACGATTAAGTGTTAAAACATAATAATTTGTAGAATCATGTACGACTATATTGGTTCTTTAATACACCATTAACCGTTTATATTGATATATGTACTATTATGTAAATTATTTTATTAGGTATATATTCATAAAATATTCAATTGTCACATCATAGCCCTTGGTCTATCATATCATGGCCTAATAGAAGTAACGTAATGTATTGTATATGTACTTAATATAAATGAAAATATATGTACTGTTGACATACTAATACTTATTATTTTTTATTAACATGATTATAATTAATCTTAAACCTATTATAGTTTACTTAATCATTGTAATATTATTATTTTTGTGCTTTTAACCCGATTAATATGATGACAATAGTAAAACATGCTTTTCACATTATTTCCCAAGTGTCATTGTTTTACTACTGTTTAAAATTGACAATATTCACCGACTTTACATAGTAATTAACTGGTTTTTTATTTTCTAAATCCGTATCTCAAAATATTAAAAGTTTGTAAAATCATATCAATTTTTTTGTTAGTTTATCAACACAGATACATTAAGTTGATAAAATATAGATAATAAATTACAACCGCGATTAACTTAATTGGCATTTTAAGATTACCGCCATCTCAACTTAAAACCAGTTTATTCTCAAAAATGGAGACCTGGTATAAAGATCGGTGAACATTGTCGTACTAACATTGGCGGGGCCAGGTGTGGATGTGCGGTGGCACTCTCGAGATCGCTCCGTGCTCCCACGTGGGTCACGTGTTCCGCAAGACTACGCCGTACTCGTTTCCGGGCGGCACCGGCCGCGTGGTCAACCACAACAACGCGCGCCTTGCCGAAGTCTGGCTCGACGACTGGAAGCACTTCTACTACAATATCAATCCAGGTGCTTGTCGGACGTCTGTCAACTGAAGACAAATGACGCGAGGTCTCGTGATGAGTCGCTTGTAGCTGCAATTCCTGCTGTTTTGTTTTTTATTTGTTGAACCGTATTATTGACTTAAAGAACGTGTGCACCATATTGGACCTTTGGAAACACGTCTACTATTATATCAATTCATGTGGTTGTAGGACGTCTTTCAACTAAAGATAAATGACGCGAGGTCTCGTGACGTATCGCTTGTAGCTACAATTCCTGCTGTCTTGTTATCAATGTCTTTCTGAGCTGCGATATTAAGATTCTTAATCTACTTCTTGTAGCTGAGCATTTTCTGATATCCCCCCATTATTCACTTTAGCAACATGTACCACTTTCGACTGTTGGAAGCACTTCTATTATAATATTACTCTAGGTGCTTGTCGGACGACTGTCAGCTGAAGACAAATGATGCTAGGTCTCGTGACTAATCGTTTGTAGCTGCAGTTCCTGCTGTCTTGTTACCAGTGTCTTTCTGAGCTGCGATATTGTAATCTAATCTAATTCTTATAGCTGAGCTTTTTTCTTTGCTATCCTCGCTTTTTTGACTTTTACAACGACTACAATAGACGCTAGATTTCCTGATGCATCGTTTGTACGTAAAGTTCGCTCCTCCTTGATAAACCTTGATAAACATGACCATCTTTATAATGTACGTTTGGTAATCTATCTCTTAAAGCATTTTTGACTTTGGTAATATGTATCAGTAAAAAGAAATCACCTACTGCAAAATTAGCCAAAAGACAAATGACACTAATGCATCTCTAAAATTTTGACGTTAGTCTAAATTAATCAAGCTAAGATTGTCGATTGTTCTCGCATCGTTAATTGACATAACTTGTATGTAATGAACATAACTAGTTCATTTTCAATGTAGAAAATGAACTTTTTTATATTGTGTCGGGTCTGGGTGTTGTGTTACTTTCGTTGTCTCAAATACTCCATAATACGGGGGCTTTGACTACTCATCTTGGAATCTGAACAATGTATGTGATATTGTGTAATATTTATTTATTTATCTATCTATTCGTTATGCTATGTTTGAAGTCATATTAATTCTACTGCAATATTGGTCCACGACGTTTCTGCTTTGTTCCAGTGTCGTTAATTACAATTACGTCACCGCCCCTGTGTATAGAATGATGAATGAAAGTATTTATTCTTATTGTTTATTTGTTTACAAACACAGCTATATGTCATTGTCAGCAATTTAACTTCAAATAAGGCAAAGGGATTTTTTTCTTTTTTATTAATAACTGTATTTGGATCAACCTACAGGATAGGGTATATAGATAGATTTTTATATCTAGTATGTTTGTATAAAATTTGTATATTTATATCTGGTATTGAACTTCATTCATTGGTATTTGTTTTTAATCGTCTCCTATTTTTCTGAATGGATTTAAACGTAAACATGTCGTAATTATCACTGAGCAAACACAGTTGGTAGATAAGGTAAATCTGATAAAAACCGGAGACGCTCTAACTAAAACAATACCGTCTGAAATTTTTATGGGATTTTCCGATGTTATGAAATATGTTGTTTAGAATTTTTCCATTAATTGTATTGTCTATTTTAATGGGTCTCAATCAGGTTGGTTTTAATTCTTATGATATTGTGTCAAGGTGAGTATATTCATATAATTATTTATTTTGTATTCTATACTAATATATCATATATAAAATAACAGTTTAATTATAATTACAAAGTATGAACATTAAATATGTAAAGAAAAAGTATTTCTTTAATATTTATTTAGATAGTATGTAGTGCATAAAAACTCTTTGGTTTTCTAATACGGCTAATTTATAGATGTCAAATTATTAAAAAGCTTACATATTAAAAAGTGTGTAATGTCAAAATAAATAAATTATAAATATTATTAAAAATACATATTTTCAAGAGGATTGGATAAAAAATAACTTTAAATGTCGTTTCTTTATTTTCAGGTAGGAATTTTATGAAGTGTAATTTAAGTTTAAGAAGTAATATAATTTGTTTTTGTTAAGTACTAAGAAATAAATCTTTATTTTCAGAGCAACACATTGAGTTTACATTGTCAATCCTTTTCGTTGAGCCATTAACTTATAAAACGACATTTTTGTTAAAAAAATATAATGGATAAACTTAGATTTGAATTTACTTTATTACCGGCAAACGATGGAAAATCAAACATCTTATGTATAACATCAATAGCTTCGAGTGATAATACAGTATATGCAATACCGGATGAATTACAATCAGTTAGTCATCATAAGGAAATAATAAAAACAGCTGTATATACTAAAGTCAAAAACAGTTTAAAGAAAAGGTACCAAACAAGAAGACTTTGGATAACAATGACAGAAGAACTTAAAAAAACATATATAGACGAAGAAGGGAATTTACAATTTGGAGATCAATTTCTAGAAGAACTAAATCAAAACCAACTCACTGCTGCGAACCAAAAAGATACTTTAGAAAAAATATTTGAGAGGTTTATAGAAAATATGCAAGAAAATAGAGGACAGAATTTAAAACAGATTGCAGAAAAGTTTGTAATTGAAAAATTTACAAGTAAAAATTTTAATGCAATTCAGTGGATTGATACTTTTGAAAAAGAATGCTTGCGTTTTGAGGTAACCTCAGATGCAAAGAAAATTGAAATACTACGATTGTTTATGGATAAAAGTTGTGCCGATTGGTACAGTTCCATGGTGATGAAATTAACAATGGATGCTGAATGGATGACATGGAAAAACAAATTCTGTGAATCGTTTTCAAATAAGGGATGGAATCCAGTCATCTATGCACTATTATTTAAATATAAAGATGGTTCATTGTTGGATTACGCTATTAGAAAGGAAAAACTTTTATTGGATATGAGAAGTTCGATTGATACAGGTACCTTAGTGGATCTCATTGCAGCTGGCTTACCAGAATTCATACTTAATAACATTAATAGAGAAGCTTTAAGAGATACTGTGGATTTATTTAATGAAGTGAGCAAATATGAACATATGGTAAAGAATAAAGTTTTCTTGAATAAGAAAAGAAATACCAATTTAAAAGTTAACAGTAGATATGATGACTTAAGTCCATGTAAAATTTGCGGAAAATTGAATAAGGGCGTTCGTTACCATTCTGAAGCTACATGTTGGTTTAGAACAAAAGAAGATAATATGAAAAAAGAAAATTTTATCAAACATGTAAATAATTCTGTAATAGAAGCTGAATTAAATGAAACTAACCAAAAAAACGAGTAGTCACACCATTAATAAATGTCAAACTGTTATTAAATGATAAATTGGAAATATATGGAATTTATGATTCTGGTTCAAACGTTTCCCTAATTAATTCAAATTTATTGAAAATAAAAGGTAACAGAAACTCTTTGAATCAAGCGAATTTAGTAACAATTAATGGTGTAAAAAAGGCAAATGGTTTGACAAATTTAAAATTAAAAATATTTGAAATAGAAAAAAATGTTGATGTATATATTATCGATGAAGAAAATTTTAAATATGATTTTTTGATTGGATTGGACCTAATTCAAGCATTTAAATTGATTCAAAATGAAGACCTGAGTATAATTCAGAAACAGTGTATAAATAATGAAAAAAAAGATAGAAGTACAGTAACAGAATACAATATTAATTTTAATGAACATGTAAAAGAAAATGATTTTCGAATAAATATAAATCATTTAAATGAATTTCAGAAATCTGAAATTAACACATTGATTAACAAATATAAATCAATTTTTGCAAAACATAAGTATGATGTTGGCACTGTTAATGGATATGAAGCGAGAATTGACTTATTAGTGGACAGATATTGTAGTAAGAGGCCTTATAGATGCACTATAGAAGACAAAATGGAGATAGAAGAACAAATAGGAAAACTGTTAGATAATAACTTGATAGAAGAGTCCTATAGTCCATTTGCTGCACCTGTTACATTAGCTTTTAAGAAAGAAGAAAATAAAAAATCCCGGTTGTGTATAGACTTCAGAGAGTTAAATAAAATTGTAGTACCTCAAGCGCAACCGTTCCCTCTAATCGACGATTTGATGATAAAGGCCAGAAACTGTAATTTTTTTTCAACGTTAGACATAAATTCTGCTTTTTGGTCTATTCCCTTACGTATAGAAGACAGAAAAAAGACAGGGTTCATAACACAAGAAGGACATTATCAGTGGACTTGTCTTCCATTTGGACTAAAGACGTCACCCGCTATTTTCCAAAGAATATTAAGTAATATATTGAGGAAACATAAACTTACTGATTTTGCTGTGAACTTTATTGACGATATTTTAATTTTCTCCAAAACGTTTACTGATCATGTTAATCATCTGACACGGTTGATGGAAGCAATAAAAACAGAAGGTTTTAGACTAAAATTTACAAAGTGCACTTTTGCATCAGATACAGTTAAATATCTCGGTCATATAATTCAAAACAATTCTATTAAACCAGTAAAAGATAATTTAATTTCGATCAAAAATTTTCCTATACCTAAAACACAAAAAAATATTAGACAATTTCTAGGAAAAATTAATTTTTACCATGAGTACATACCCAAGAGTGCGATTATATTAGAGCCGTTACATAACTTACTAAGAAAAAATCAAAAATTTATTTGGTCCGATAAATGCCAGAAGGCGTTTGATATAATAAAAAATATATTATGTTCTCAACCAGTTTTGGAAATTTTTGATAAAGACCTTCCAATCAACATTTATACCGATGCTTCTATAGAAGGTCTTGGCGCTATTTTAAAACAAACTCAACCTGATGGAAAAGAAAAACCGGTGGCCTATTTTTCAAAAAAACTAAATGAATCCCAAAAGAAAAAGAAAGCAATATATTTAGAGTGCTTAGCTATTAAAGAAGCAGTAAAATACTGGCAATATTGGTTAATGGGTAAATCATTTACAGTTTATTCAGACCATAAACCACTGGAAAATATGAACTTAAAATCAAGAACTGATGAAGAACTAGGTGATTTTTCATATTATTTATCACAATATGATTTCAAAATAAAATATAGTCCAGGAAAACATCATTTAGAAGCAGATTGTCTGAGTAGGAATCCTGTATTGGAGTCATATGAAAACACTGATGAACTATTAAAAATTGTGAATTTAATAAGGTTGGAAGATATTTTAGCGGATCAGAATAAAAATAGAAACATACAAAATAATAAAAGTAAATTTACGAAAAAACACAACTTATACCACAAAAAGATAAAAGACAAAGAAAAAATAATATTATCAGAAGAATTTAGCATAGAATTTTTGAAAAACATACATCAAAGTCTGTGCCACATTGGATTTGGACAAATGCAAAAGATGGTTAGTCCGTTCTATACAGCAGAGCATTTGACAGCAAATATAAAAAAAGTTTGTCGAACCTGTGAAGTTTGTCTTAAAAATAAATCAAGAGGACATAATAAATACGGATTTATGTCTCATTTAGGTCCAGCGACAAAACCTTTTGAAATCATATCAATTGACACGATAGGAGGGTTTGGAGGTTCAAGATCGACAAAAAAATATCTTCATTTATTAGTAGATCATTTTACAAGATATGCATTTATTCTAACATCAAAGACACAGAGTGCGAATGATTTCATAAAATTGGTCACGAAAATAATCGATATAGAAGATGTAAATATGCTGCTTACTGATCAATATCCGGGTATTAATTCGAAAGAATTTAAAGAGTTTTTAAATAATAATCATATACCCATAGTATTTACAGCGGTAAATGCGCCATTTTCAAATGGTTTAAATGAAAGATTGAATCAAACGTTAGTTAATAAAATCAGATGTAAAATAAATGAAAAAGAAGAAAAAAGAGCATGGACATCTATAGCACAAGAATGCATTAATAAGTACAATGAAACTGATCATTCAGTCACTGGCTTTGCACCAAAATATCTTTTGTATGGTACAGATGTCACGATTATACCAAATGAATTAAAACAAAAAATATGTTATAATGACTGGATGAAAGATAGAAAAAAAGCTTTTGAAAATACGATGAAATCACACAAGTACAATAAAAAAATCTTTGATAAAAATAGGAAGCAATATGAATTTAATGTAGGAGAAATGGTGTATGTAGAAAATGGAAACAAGCTGAACAGAAAAAAATTAGAAGAATTGAAAATTGGACCGTATGAGATAATAGAAAAAATATCTAACTCAATATACAAAATAGATACAGGTCATCATAAATCGGAATCAAATCTATTCCATATAACAAAACTTATTCCAGTAACACAAGAAGAAAGTGAAAATTAAGTAATTTTAAGTTTATTTTTAATTTGTTAAAAAAATTTACTGCTAATTAGCAGTAAATTCTTCTCCTAGGGGGGAGATGTAAAGAAAAAGTATTTCTTTAATATTTATTTAGATAGTATGTAGTGCATAAAAACTCTTTGGTTTTCTAATACGGCTAATTTATAGATGTCAAATTATTAAAAAGCTTACATATTAAAAAGTGTGTAATGTCAAAATAAATAAATTATAAATATTATTAAAAATACATATTTTCAAGAGGATTGGATAAAAAATAACTTTAAATGTCGTTTCTTTATTTTCAGGTAGGAATTTTATGAAGTGTAATTTAAGTTTAAGAAGTAATATAATTTGTTTTTGTTAAGTACTAAGAAATAAATCTTTATTTTCAGAGCAACACATTGAGTTTACATTGTCAATCCTTTTCGTTGAGCCATTAACTTATAAATATTTATATTAAATCAATATTTTAATAATTTTAATAACCTTGTTATTGTTATAATTCATACGTATGACGCGTTCATATCACTCATTCCATATTGTTTAAACATATGTTACGGGTTGTAATCATGCTTTTTATTAACACCTGTAGAATGATGCTTTAAGTTACAATATTAATAATTAACCTGTTTTGTTTTCATACTAACATTAATTAAATCAACAATTATTTAGTCAAACATTTGTAAATATAAGTAAATTAGGTCAATAAAGATTTTATATGCAAGGTTATGTCATAAAAAAAGTTTTACTATCTCATTTTTTTTTTTGATATCGGAGGAATAGTTCGTTTTTATTTTCCCAGTATTTGAATGTAAAAGTATGCATTTATTCTATTAGGGGCGCTGAATGTGCCTGTTGGTGACGTCAGCGAGAGACGAGCGTTACGTGATAAACTCAAGTGTAAGAGCTTCAGGTGGTATTTGGAGAACATTTACCCAGAGAGTCAGATGCCTTTGGACTATTACTACTTAGGAGAGGTTAGTACCAATTAATTTCAGATTGTCGATCATATTAACAATGTTTTTTTATTTTTCGGATATATTTTAAAGCAGCGATTCCCAAAGGATTTTGGGCAAAATACCCCTTTTTCATAATGAACTGATACTTGAGAATCGCAATGCCCAAATTACTTAAAATCCTATTACATTTTTTTCCTAATGATAAAAATATACACAAAATTTTACACAAATAATTCACAGTAAATAAAAATTATTTATATGCTTAAATTAAATAAGAAATTCTTAGGCAAACGTTGATTCTTAAACATTATCCACTGAACTTATAGTGTCAAAACAAGAACTTGATTTTTAATTTATAATTTAGTCTCGAATGTCAAGGAGAATAGGTAGACACTTTAATAGCACAGTAAAAGATCATATTTTAGCTTACATTAATAAGTATATTACAATAGGAATGATGACAAATTTTTGTTTGTCTGTCTGTTGGGTAGATTATTAAAAAATAATACACAGGTTTTTTTTTACGTAATCAATAAATTCGGCTAAACATCGAGTTGAAATGTCGCATGACGTTACGCCTTTGTACATTTTTTACGTAGTTGTCAAGTGGCGAGAGCCCACTCCTCAACTTTGATATCTATTATCTGAGCTATTACTAGTTGAATTGAAGGGAAGAAAAATACGTATCTTATATTTTTCTATTATCTGACTCACAGGCTAAATAGAATTTCTATCTTTTTATCCAGACAACATCCCTATTCCTATTTCAAAAAACTTGTATTTTTTCTATTATAATAATGTATTATATATTCAAGTAGACTATTGGTATGTAATGTAAGAATACTGTTTTTAGATACGCAATGCTGAAACATCCAACTGTCTGGATACACTTGGTGGTAAAGCTGGTCAGCCACTGGGGATGGGTTACTGTCACGGGCTGGGCGGTAACCAGGTTAGTTTCCTATATAAATTTTACTACATAACTGTAATTAACAGTTGTCGGTGCAGTTCGAAACATTTCAGATTTTTCTCAAACGTATATGTTGATATCGTTAGCATTCCGAGATTCGGGGTTTAGTTGTTGTATAGAATAGTGTTTCTTACAGTGTGCTCCGCGGAGTCCTGGGGCTCTGCAAAGCATATATTAAGGGTCTACGATAGGGCAATATAGTATGTCAAAATAATATTAGGGTTCAGCGTAAACATTTGGTCCGTTGCCAAATGTCTAGAACTTTATTGAAGTACTTGATGTAGCTGAAGCTAGTTTTAATACAAAGAATATCTCAAAATAGCTCAAAAACTCGCACAATTTAAATGAGCAATGAGCTCGTTCATGAAAACAGAAATTGCTGAAATTTAATCCAGTTAAGATGTCTGAAACAAATGTTTATATCCAGTGTACACATAATAGAATACTGCGAAAAAATGTCAAAACCTTTGTTACCTTAAGCGTATCATTACATTTATAGTTTTTGTTTTTTATTCAAGCGCGTAAAATCAACCGTAAGTGGTTTTGTGTTTGATTTTTCATATACAGAACAAGGAACAAAAGCGTATAACACTGCCAATTTAAAAAAGTAAAAGCTCGAGTGGACGAATGGTATAAAATGAGTCTGACTTACGCATGAAGAGTTCCGTATCGTTATCTATAAAATAGGCAAACGAGTAACGTTTGTCATACTCCCTCATACGACAAAACCCTCTTCAATATTTATTTTAGTCTGTTTTTAGTATTTCTTGTTATAGTGGCAATAGAAATACATCATCTGTGGAAATTTCAACTGTCTAACTGTCACGTTTCATAGATACAACCTAGTGACAGACGGACAGACAAGCGGAGAGCGAAGTCTTAGTAATAGGGACCCGTAGGGGGACATATTTTTGCCCAGGTTGAAAAAATCTTAGATCTGGGCCTGTGAGCCCGCTTTATATTACTATGATAAAATCCAAAGACAGAGACTACAACAAACTAGGCTCTGTAGTTTCTACTTTTGGCAGTTGTATTTTTCAAAATTTTGTGTGATATTTTTTAACAAAACAAGACTTTCACATTGGAGTTATGCTTGACCCCAATCACAATATTGCCGCCTTGCGGTCACAAAATAGCATATCGAGATCGATTGGTTAACAGTTAAAAAATGAGTTTTTGTTCCATGTTTTGTTTCGTCTATTACTATCTTTTAACTGTGGTAAACATAAGCATTGTACATATATCATTATCAGACCTTCGAGTTGAGTCATTTTAAAAAGTCACATCTGACATCTTCCAATAAACTTCAGTGATGCTTAAATTATCAATATCAGCAAATAGAATTTTAACAAAGCTATGTTCAAATATTTATTTTTAATGAATCTCATCGAATAATCTTGTTTTTGCTGTTAAGCTTATTTCAAATTGGAAACGTAATTTCTATTAGGTATACTATAAAATCAAAACACGCACACACAAACAAATAAATATCTATTATTATGAACGATAATCGAATAATATCAGTTATCGATATTGTTCAATATCGACTTTTTACGGTCTAATAGCATGTGTCAAAAGAGACCTACTATTTTGTGAAAAATTTAGGAAAAATAAATGCATTGTTTGAATTTTAATTGGCCTAACCTAATGTTACAGGTTTAGTAAAGCGACAAATCTTCTTAAGCTATATTAGGCGATTTCCAGTTTCGCTATCCCTTGTTCTGAGTTAGTGAAAACGGACATAAGTGGGTTTTAATAATTTAAAGGACTATGTACCGCTTTATTTTTGACAAATTAACGGTATGTAAGGTAGGTACAAGATTACTTTGAGATTAAGACTGATAGATGTCAAATGTGGTCTATTAAAATAATTATAATGTAGCAGTGTCGAGACATTTACTCGACCGTTAGTTTATTGATCTTTACCCACCATTTAAAAATAAAAAACTTTTTTTTTAGGTTTCTGTAGTCATAAACCTATTAATATGCTTGTACACCTATCATGATAGATGGCAAAAAAATAACGTAAGATTTTGCCGTGGGATGGAACATAATCGTATATTATTGCGTCATTCACTTTTTCTGGGGTTTTTGTATCATCATCTAGCATGCTTACTCTTTAACGCAGTCGCGATCTTGCGACATTGCCGTACGGGTGTGGACATTAAACGAAAATATATAAATATTTTTTTCGTAGTGTTTAATGTACTATTATTGATAATCATACCCAAGTTTGGTTTTATCAAATTTAATGGATAAGTTCAGTGAACAAGTCATATTTACCACACATATAAACACAAGTAATGTATTATTACTTACCTTACATTTTAGAATTACGGTGTGTTAACTTTCCGGATTCCGGATTAAAAGGATTCCGGATTTAATGTACCTTCAAATGATTATTAAAGGGAACTTTCCAAAGATCGTAGGAATTTATTATAATAAATTATCATTCTTCCTCCTCTATCTCAAAAATAACCGCCTCGTCGATTGTCTCTTTAGTATTTTTGTTTGTGTGACTAGGTATTCGCTTACACAAAACGGAAGCAAATAATGTCTGACGACAACTGCTTGGACGCGGCGCATCCACGCGGCCCCATCAAGCTGATCCGTTGCCACGGGATGCGAGGCAACCAAGAGTGGACTTATGATTCTAAGGTAATGTAATATTTAGAATAAAGTTTTGTTTATAAAAAGTATTATATTAATTAAAACCATCTTTGCTCCGCTATGGATATCCCAGTAGGCACTCACTTTATTCTTCAATGCATCGAATTTCAAAAGATTAACTGCTTTCAATTTTGTACTTAACAAACAACTGGTTAAGGCTTAAAAATAGATTGCAGTAATTTAACCTTTATAGTAAGCTGATGAAGTGCTGACAATTGTCAGATATTTTACTATCTTAGCATCCGTTACTTAGTGGTTACTCAAGTTTATATGGTATTCAATGAATAAGAAATGATCAATAAACAGTAAAAGGTAATATTTTATATAAAAATATATTATTTAAAATAAGATTTTTTTATGACATTTGGAGTGTAATTTGCAATAAATACTATCATTATCGTCTTATTCGATATTATTTTTCCTAACCTTTATATAGTTTATCTTAAAGAAAAATGCTTAAAAATTCACCAGTCCCAGGTTTTGGCTGTTTTGGTGTTAATACCATATATTGGTGAAAATACGCGCACTTATAGTGAAAGTAACGAATGCTTGAGGAATGTTTCAGTCCTGCTGAACTGCATGCTCTGGGTTGACACCCCAGTCATGACTGCTTAGCGGATAGTTCACTGTCTGTGGAAAAGTCTGTTATGTACTTGAGTTTTACCCTTCTCGCTGTTGGCTAACCCCTCTCCGGGGGTCCTAACGTAGGGGTCTGCGTGAAGAACAGTCAATATTGTATCGCACGCGCTTCTCCCTAAAGTGCATCGGAGGGGGTTTAATGTATGCCATCCGCGATTTGACTAGCCTTCGAGCATAAAGATAGAGAGTCCCACACACACACACCCTCTCGCCTGTCAAGTGACAGGGACAGTGCATAAAATATTCCTCCTTAAGTTAAAAAGTTAACTCAGTGGTCAGAGCATTTGCCCGGTTATGAGTTCAAATCCCTTATTGTTGTTTATGATAATTATCAATATTATTTGAAATATAAGATAAATAGAGCATTGTAAATGTAAAATTGATCAAATATAATACGGCTGTAGACAGTAAACGAAAATAAATACAGATTATTTTTTCTGGCAATGCTTTATATGCTATAACCGTTAAAAATAATTATGAAAAAAAAAACAAATATTTTATACTCGTTGTCACGTGACCTCAAACAAGCCATGACGTTACGCCCTTCTTATATCAAAACTATAATATAGAAGAGGATTCAAATGAATAATTTATCATTTATTTTTAGGATTTAACTGATTATATGAATGATACTTTTTAAAATATTTTTTTAGTTATATTTTTTTAGATTTCATCTATGAAAATATATAAAATCAAAATATAAAAAAAGTTATTGTTTTGTTTGTAATACAGCTCAATTATTTTGTCTGTAGACACGTACGATAAAGCACACTAACACTGGCATGTGTTTGGACAAGCCTGAGTCGTCTGACGTGTGGAAGCCAGTGTTGCGGCCGTGCAACAGGTCGCGCGGGCAACAGTGGCTGATGCAACTAGACTTCAAGTGGCAGGCCAGGAGACAAGCGAGAGAGCACAGCTAGTGTACACACTGCAGGTAACTATACTGTACATAGTCCGTTTCACATGGTACGGTGACGGTTTTTTACAAATTCATTACACGCAATTAGTATTAAAAACCATTAAAAACCACGTTAAATTTGCATATTGAAACACAAATAAATTTTTAATAACCATAGTTAGTAAAATCTTACCCTGTAAAGTTTAAAACATCGATTCATTATTCTGACTCAAGTTCATTTTGTTGATGAATAAATATTTTTCTTAAATATTGTTTTATACATTGACCTCAAAATCGATTATTTCTATTAGAAATGAATTCAACGGTATCGAGTTTTTGCGTATATATTTTTTTATTACCAAACTAAAAACTTCAAACTTCAAACATCACCGTAACCTTGATAAGTGAAAAAGACTAACTACTAGCGTTGACATATAGTCATCATCATCAGCCCTGATACGTCCCCACTGCAGTGGTTCAGGCCTTCCTTATGCAAAGAAGTGGACCATGAACATCCACGTTGACTCAATGCGGATCTGAGGGTATTAACGAATGCAAATACAACCGGGAGGACCAACGGATTCACGTGCCTTCCAAAGCTCGTGATAATATTTTTTGGTCACCCAACCCCTGACCGACCCGACTTGCGAAAGTTGCATAACAACAACGATTATCCACCAGGCTTTCTAACCGGGGCAGAAGCCGGATTTCATATCGTAGCCTAAGTGTACGAAGAGATTTGTAGTGCTCGTTCATTTTTGGGCTGTAAACATAATAGGGAGACGACCAATTTTTGTTTGTTTGTCCGTCAGGTAGAGTGTAAAAAATATTAAACACGTATTTTTTTCTTTTTTTCGTAATCATAAAATTACGGCGTTACATGGAGTTGAATTTTCGCATGACGTCACGTTATGGTACGTTTTCTACTAAACTGTGACGTAGCGAACCCCCACTCCTCAACTTTAATGCCTGTTATCTAAGCTATTTCTTGTTAAATTGAAGTAAAAAAAATACGTATCTAATATTTTTCTATTATCTGACTGTCGGACCAAATATGCCTATTACGATTTTGGCGTCCGGGATGAGTGCCTCCACTTGCCGCACCACTCCCCTAGATCCGGGCCTGTTATCCACTACACCACCGAGCTATTCTGTCAGCTAAGAGTACCTGTGCGTTGAGGAAGCTAAATATTTTGTCCATACTTTTCAATATTTTCATACAAGAACACTAAAACTACAAAAAAAATATTGAAATGTTCGCTTCAATGTGTCTTACTATAGTATAATACGTTTGTTTCAGAATTGACAACGACAGACCATAACAGTCTTCCCCTCATTTTAGATATCAGATTTATTCCTTATTCTTGTGTAAAGTTTTATATCTATTAGATTTAAATGTACGACACGTATGTGGTCCTGTGAATTGTTGACAATACATAAAGAAGTATGCTGTAATACGTTGTATTCCCTTTAAAGGTTGCTCAAACTTAGTATTTGCGTTTGATAGTGTGAGTTCAATTGCGATTAATTTAGACATTTGAACGTCAAAGAGATTATATTTATATGTATATTTAAGTATTTTTCTTTGTCATTGGAAAGTAGCATTTTTATTATTGTATGTAATTATAATTGACCGTGCATTTATTTGCAAAATGACAAATGTAATTAACTGTTCGTCTGATATGTTTATTTGGAGATGTGTGACATTTGTTTAAAACAAATTAATTTTGTGTATATGTTTTATTCACTTTAAGATTATAATGTTGGAAAAGATTTATCTTATGGATACTCATTTTAATTTAGGAGATTTGATAATTTAATTTCAATATGTTACGATTCAGGTCGATTTTAAGGGCTTGTTCTGCATTTAATTAATACAAATACTGTACTACCTTCAAATTTTTTGACTCCTACTGCAGGACGTTTTATACTTCTCATTTCTAAATTATCCGCTTAATATCTTATTTTGATTGTTATTTTGTGAACCTGTAATTCTACTACTATGATTTCCTTCAACCAGTATATAACATCTATTTGTTGTGTTGTGGAACAAGCCCTTACTCTATAAACGATGTGAAACAAAATCGATGTATATGTCTGTTGGTTTGTGCTCATGGTTTTGAATATGCATTAGACTTTGGTGTGGTGTTTATTCACCATTTAGAGAATTTCTTATGATAGATCGTAATGGATCTTATTATATTCCATCTGAGTGTAGCAGAGATGGCTTGTTAGTTATAACGAAAGCTTAATTGAATTTTGGAGTCAGAATGTTGGTCGTACCCTTTATTAGGGCTAGGGATGTCGTTACTTTCCTTCCGTTTTAATGCGACATTCGCGGTGCTAATCTTCGCCACAAGACTTGCATAACTACAGTTACTTTAACTGTTATAAAACAGCTTTTTTCAATAGCTTATCATCGGTAAGAGATAGGCTTGTCTCAATTCGGTTACTAAGCAACCGATTATATTTTTGAATAATTTGATCTGTGGTTTGTTTATTTAGGCACGTAATTATATGCTACAATTTTATTTTTTTATAAAAATATTCGTTTCTGTAATACCCATTTCACAAATAACGCTCGGCTCAACATTTAAGAGAATAACCTCAAGTTTTCTAAAATGAATCACATTTAATTAAACTTCTTTGTTGATAACATAAACTTATTTAAGAAATACACTTTTTAATAAAGGTGATATTTTTATTCTTAAGTACCTAAAGGTGGACTTAATGCGACTACTCTAGTCTCTATCTCTTACTGTAGATTAGTTATTGTGATGTCATAAATCATACGGCGGATAGTGTGGTGGCACGATCGTGCCATAACCATAAGCTAACTAGACGGCCTTTGATATTGCCACGTTATGTAATTATAATTAAGGTGACTCTTACACGATGCAATCAGTTAAATTTAAAATGTATGTGCAGCTAAATTAATATATTTTCATTTAAGATTTTTTGTTCTAATTTTGTCGTGGTAGTTAGGTACCTAGAGAGATTCGATAAACAATGTAGCGTAAGATATTTTCTTTATTATCATACTAGTAATATGATTCGCATAGAGATGCCATTAGTGAGTGGAAAGGTTAATGAATTATTTTTAACTATGTAGTTGCTCTTGAGTTATTAAAGTTTTACATTCTATCTTGATTGCACAGAATAGTTTGGATACCGTAGTATTACACTGGTAATTTGAAACGTGATTGTGAGTCATGTAGGTATTGTTTGTTATTGTTGATCTGCAATGGCCAATGATATAATATATTTCGGTCGTAGATGTGACAGTGGCCTCTACACTCGTTAAAAACTGTTGCCTTAATTAATTTTACGATGTTTCAAATTGATCGTGTTATATTTGATAAGGATAAAGATTATATTTTAGCGTATGACTGTTCTTTAGAGGGCTCAATGGAATTGTCACTTGTCACTTCCTTCACAAATAGCTTAGTTTTGTAGTATTTTCTTCTGTTTTCAGATTTTAAAAGTGGTTAAATTATATTTCATATTTAATCAGGGAGAGTAATGTCAAATTAGATTTTGTATTCTGTCACTGTATAATTAAGGACTTTGATTTGTATGTATGGAGTTAATTTGGACTATGCTTCGTTATATATTATACTTCGTTTCAATTCAACTCGTGTGTATAAACCTATTCATTTTATTAAAAACTTTAAAAAATGTAATATTTTTACAAAATACACTAACGAAGTGAAATGGAGCGAAGTATAATTATTTTCGTGTTAAACGCTCTCAAAACAACGAAAAACATATAAATTCGATAAAATTAAATTTTTTATTTTTTTTAATGCAGGTTGTATTTTGCTTTCTCTTAATTTTAGTAATTTAATTAATTTAATAAATAACGGCTTTTTAATATGACTCAAACTGGGGAAGTATCCTCTCGCAATGCCGAATTATTTTTTCGTAATATAAATTATTATGATTTATGATTATTATATATCAATTTAGATTATGTGAACATTTTAAAAGGATCATATCAATAAACAAATGTATATTATGTAAAATTCGTCTTAGGTCTAGAGAATTTGTCATGTTTATTTGTTGTGTATAGTTAATACATCACAAAAATAGGTTAAATTTCCCTAGAAAATTTTCAAGGTATTATAATACACAACTATTTTTTGTAAATTATTATTTTTTATTGAAGTGTTCTAAAAGTTTACAGTATCAGTTTTTATGATAAATTTGGTAAAGACAAACAGTTTGGAATATCAAAATAATTTCTCAAGCATTTTTGAACAAGGCCTATATAAGTTGTGCACAGTAGTACCACAGAAATAAGTCACATCGGCATTGTAGACGCAGATACTTATGAAAACTATAACATTTGTTAAACACTAATCAATAAAAACCTTATGGAGTTCCTCTTACGGTGAAACATGCAATGACAGATTAACTGAAGCCAATTTAAAAAGAATTAAAGTGACCGGCATAAACTTACTTAATAATTATTACTTAGAAATACTTTCATTCCTTTTATTCGTGAAATCTGTTATATCATCGTTACTCATTTTTGTGATACTACTAAACACAAAATGTAATTATTGTAAATAGTTACTATGTGATGATTCGTCCAACTTTTAAACATAGACCATTTGTATATGACTAACAATTGCATTTACTTTTAACTGGAATCTCAAGAGTTCGTTTCATACTTTTAATAGTGCCAAATGGTTTTATTTGATGGCACACTTCACCATTCCAATTAAACTTGAAAATTAAATTGTTTGGACTGAATTTTACCAGTGTGTTTTATTTTAATGAGTAACAATATTATCGAATAGCTGTTTTCCAGTGATCTCTTTCTCACCCTAAATTATAGGCCGTGTTACCAGCGCATAAATTGATCAGTGGTGCGACTATGCTGTGTCGATATTTTGTTTTATTTTGCTACTTTAATATATCTATATGTACATATTATCGACGAACGAATGATAAATAATTATTATGGATTTAACAGCAGCGTTGCCAAATAAAGAAGTAAGATTTAACGAAATACCGCCATAACATCGATATGATGTTGTATCCTTTAGTAATGCGGTCGCACCACTGGGTGTTTCAAAGTATATTCAACACCAACAATAAAATAATAATTTATTAGCTTTCCGACAGCGGCTTCGTCCGCGTGGTTCTGTATTGCATAATCTTGAATCGTCTTTATATTGTTGAAAACCGCAATAAAATACGATGTGTAGTTTGAAAGATCTCAGCGTACAGACAAGGAGGCGACTTTGTTTTATATTTAGAATTGTAGAATTGTTCTGTAGACATTTCTTCATATGTGTTTGTACATGATAAATAAATAATGATTTAATGATTAAAAGAACTGAAAAGGTTTTAAAATATTTATTAAACTTAACTTTTAAACTTAAAATTATATAATGTTGTTCACTAATGCCTAAATTTATACAATAAAATACATTCACACGAAATAAGTGACACTCAAACTACAAAATAATTGACACTTATTTAAAAATACCCAACATCAAGCACTAAAACGTGCTCATCACTATTAAAATAATGAAACTCGAGGAGTGTGAATGACTTACGAATATAATTATGATTATATACAATCTCTTATTCCGATATTATCACATGTTATATAATTTTGGCATTCTATAAAATTAATTTATAGTAATTGTCGCAATTTTGATGATTTTGCAATGCACAATGAAAATGTACATGTTATAAATTACTGAATTATATACATCAATAATATTAATAATAAATATAGAAAATTGTATGTCAACTAATAATAGGACCGGTGTACACACGGTTGCACGTCAGGCTACCACAATGTCATATTTCCATAGTAGAATTCCAACCCTACCTTCAATGTATTGAGGATTAAAATAAAGTGGAGAAATTTGAGTTTTGCGTAATCTACCTGCTGTTGACTGTACATACATGCGGTAGACGCGCAGATTATCATAATATTAAATTGCGGCAATTTTTTTTTAACAAATAATATTTAACTTGTAACAAATATAAATCTTAGAGATATTTTTAGATAACGCGCGTCTGTACGTTTCATTATGGAATACTTCTAAGATAAAAATATATAACAAACAAAGGCACGACAGCTTGATAAATATATCAAGTTAAAATATTTTTTTTAATGAAAAATGCATAAAAAAATCTACCCCGTCCCCGGCACTCTGAGATAGGACTCGAAACCACGACCTTTCGTAATCCGGGCGACTGCTCTAACCACTGAGCTACCCAGGACCAACAGGACTGACGAACTTTTCAAACACTTTCACTTTTCGTTACTACTGAGCGCATTTTCATAAATGTTAAGACAATCCACCCGAACAGTCGAAAGAAATATCTCAGTGCCAGGGACGGGGTGTATATTTAAGTAGTTCCAACATGACATTGTGAATGCAAAATTGATCAAATATAATAAGTTATCATTAATTTATCAATAATAATAATCGATTAACAACATGCAATAAAAGAACCAAAACCTGATTATGCAGTTAATAACACGTTCTGTCGTTATGTACAATTAAATAATTTGATGTATAAAACGATTAAAAATTAGATGGATTTCTCATAGTAATTAGAATGATTTTTTTACATAACAAATTCCATTTATAGTTAAATTATAAAGTGACGATTATATTTAGCCCGTGCCGCGTGGTGCCGCGGGCCGAATATTACTCGGTTTTATATATTTGCTTGGTATACATATCGAGTTTATTTAATCACTCACATATATATGAAACGGATACATGTAGGGTGGAGTGGGACAAACTTAATGTAAACCCAGTATTATTCAGGTATGTCGTACATATTTACAACTAAAACTGTACTCAATATTATGAAGGCTCGTTAGGTGTATTGAGATCAATGGTGCGAAGACTGAAGGTGCTAATATGGTCTTCTTTGGCGTGACTACATTATATCATGGACTAGATATATGAAATGAGGCGCGACTTTGATTGGTTTATACCCATGGATTTTATTATATACAACCGGTAAGAGTACATCGATTGAAAATTATTCAAAGTCGTGATTACACAATGAACGGGTTCATAATCTTTCAACAATAAATTTCAGACGGAAAACTCGTTTATATTGCTTTAAATAAGAATGTCACGATTTGTAAACTGCTCCAATATAAATACACGCTATAATTATTTGGTCATTTTGATCATGCCTAAAATATACAACAAAGCAACAACCCAAAACATGAACTTCTTATAGGAAGATAGTAACTTTATGAATTTTTACACCCGATTTCTGAATTGAGAATTTAAAGTTAAGCAGACCAATTCAAAGTATGAAAAAAACTAGGACTTTATGCCATGTGAAACGTAAAATAATTATTGAGAAAAATAATTTGTAATATTGTAATTTTTTAAACTCGGAAACCGGCTGTAAGACTAAGCTTTGGGGCATATAAATTGGTCATCGTTCTTCTGGAGTCACGCAACCCTTAAAACATTTCGAAGAGAGATACGCCGACGATGACTTTTGGCTATCATAAACTGTGCTACAATAACTTCGGCTTAAATCGGCATCAGATTGAAGTTGTTTAAAATCCAACGCCCTTAAGTCCACTATAGACGATATATACCAAACTGAAACATGTGCTGCTACGATGTCACTCTTGTCGCATATCGTCTGGTAGCCAACGGTCATTCTCTGCTTTCGCTAGTTGATTCTTTAAACTGAAGTATAGTTTTATCAACGAGTCCTGTAAACAAAAGAAAGAAAGTTTGTAACCTAACTCGTTATATATAACGTATAAGCTAGAAAAAAAAAATTGTAAACAAATTGTTGACTTCGTCCGCGTAAATTATGACATAATGTCACCCGCATATACCTAGTTTCGGAGACTATTTGATGTAAACAAACAACCAAATCTTTCCTTTTTAATATTAATACCTATACCTCGTGTGTTCATTGGTTTTGAGACGAAATAAAAGTTGCGTAACTTTTTAAATAATCAACTTATATTTCTAAAATTTTCAGTAATCATTAAATAGATAATAATCATCAATAATATATATATATATATATATATATAAATTTTTAATACAGGCCCATAGACGATTTTACCAGACATCAATGGCGGCACGAATCTTTTCTAGAGGAATTCGCTTTGCTTCTCGAACAAGGGTTCCCTTCAGTGACTCCAAATTTGGGTGGTATTTTCGGCAGGCCCTGAGCTCTTATTCAGTCCATAAAGAATAATTCAGCGGGTTGAGGTTGGGGCTGATTGAGAGCCTCGTCCGCTCTAATGAAGGCCGGCACATTCTCCCTCAACCAAGCTTGGGTGCTTTTTGCCTTATGGGATGGCGCCGAGTCTTGCTGAAAAACCCAATCTTTATTGTGAAATAACGCATCAGACAGGGGTTTCACCACGGGCTCTAAAATGTCACTGATAATTCTTGGCTTTCACCTTTAAACCTTGTAGGCAGAAATGGAGCGGAGTGACACCTCCATACGAAACTCCCCACCATACCATCACACTAGCCGGATGATGAGTGCGCGAGACATTCCGTGCAGAAGCTGGGACATCCTTGCTACTTTTAGCGTACACTTTATTGTTTTGTCGGTTGAACTTTTCTTCGTCTTGAATTTTCTCGTCGGTGAAGACTATCTTCCTGGCATCATGACTCCTCAACAGCAATGGACAACGTTCGCGTCGTAACTTACGAAGATGATCGTTTAAAAAGTGAACTTTTCTACGGCTATAGGCTTTTACCTTAAGATCATATTTCAATATTCTGTTCACTGAAACGCGAAGTATTGGTCTGCAGAGCGAGTTTCGTTAAAGTCGCTCTCGGATGATTTTGATTCCTCACAGAGGAATTCCTTCGCAGGCGTCCTCACAGAGCGTGACCGACTACTCCTTTGTCGATCTTGCAGAGAACTTGTCTCTTTGTACCGCTGTATTGTGTAATAGACGAAGTAACGGCTTACAGGAAAACTTTTCAGCTCAATCGTTTCGTTCCCTCCATCAGGAGAAAATATAAACAAATGAATTTGCGATATAAATAAACTAAGAGTTAACATTCCAAATTCAAAATTGGTAAAAAATTAACATTTTATTTTATTTTTTCGGTAAAAAGTTTGTATCAAAACTTATGAACACACGAGGTACACCACTGTAATAGCACAAATTTGGCTTGTCATTGTCTTGTAATTGTCTTTTAATTGTGTGTCATTTGGTCAATCAGTACAAGCGATCAATATGTTTTTAAAAAACGAAGAAAAACGTCAGTTTGACGTGTTTTCAAAAGGAAATTTTTGATTATCCGTTCCATGACCATATCAGATTTTGAATGATTGATATTCAACGCTTAACCTCTCCAAATATATACAGTACTCGACATGAAAATAAACTTATGAAAATAAATCAATAAAAATATTAAACAGACTTCAAAAAGGTAAAAAATTGGAAAGTATGTAATTCTTATCTACAAGGCATTAAAATGTATTTAAGAAGGTGGTTAATAATAATAAATCTACACAAACATGTGTTTAGGTTTACTTTCGAACTGCGTACGTAGCTTTCAAGTTAAGCGAAAATTAGTTATAAAATTACATTTGGCTGATTTCCTAAGTAGTCTCCGAGTAAGTAAGTAAAATGTTTACCTTTTCTTTTTCTAATTGTATGATCTCTCTTTTCTGCCGTAATTCTTCTTCATCCATTTGATCTTCTAATTCTGATTTGTGTTTACTGAGGTATGCTGTTTCTGTCTGAACCTGGAAAGAACACCAAACAGAGAGTTAATATCAAAAATATAGTGTAGTATGAAGAATGATTCACGATTTGGCTTTAACTTTGCTGACTGAATGGAAAAAGAAGACAATTATTGACGCAGTCAAATCATCGTTTGTCTTCCAACTTTTCAAATTGTTTCACAGAGATATGATACTGAGGGTATCATATCTCTGTCTGGTCTGGTCATACGCTGGTCTAATGCGGATTGGACGGTATCAACGACCGGAAATGCAGCTGGGACCAACGGTTTACGGCGCCTTCCGAAGTACCTCGTGATAATAATTTTTTGGCAACCATCCCATGTTCGACCCCTCCGAAAGTTGCTTAACAACAACGATTGCTTGCCTTGGCGCTAGAGCCTTAGATTGTTGGTAAACTATTTATTATGATAAGTTCCTCCGTGCTTCGGAAGTCATTTCAAGCCGTTAATTTCGGCTGAAGTCAACAACAACATCCACCAATCCGCACTGTCTACCCTACTTGATTCCATCCATAGCGAAGGCTTTAGCTCTAACTGTGAGGGCGTTAATAGGCTGATAATGAGGATGATAATTTCAAATACTCTGCGCTACTACTAAAATTTTAAAATATACATGTATACAATACTGCGAAAACAAAATTCTTTGCTTTCAATCTTATTGTAATTTTCAACAAAAAAAACCTATAAAATATTTTTTACGTTATTCTATATATTCTATGAAGACTTGACACTTCAAAAAATTCTCTTATTTTCTAGCTAAGCAGACTCTAACTATAATGCAATACAGGATATTAATAATGAGTAACTAATATTCAGACAGTAACGGAGAATGGAGTAACAAAAGTTACCTTATTATGAAAAAGGGAACGTTCATTTTATATCTAGACATCTGATGAGTGTTACCTTAAGATATTCCGGCGCTAGCTGTTTGTGTTCCTCGTAGATCCGTTTAGATTCTTCATTGTTTGGATCCGGCGATATAGGCCGTAAGTGTGGGTCCAGCATTAGGTGCATCGAGTCCAGGGCGGGGTCGGGATCCGCGGGCGGCGCTGCGGCTCCCTCGCCAGCGGCCGAACCGCTACTGTTACCTGTTAACAAGAACGTCTGATGAGACTAAGGTTGGACTGCACCATAAAAATTGCAGTTAAAGTTAAGGTTTATGTCAAATTTGACGATAACATTGATTGCGGAATGCAGCATCCTTTTTCGTGGCCTAGTAAATAGCTTTAACTAGCGAAGCTTGGGCGGTCATAGTTAACAGTTATCTAACTGGTACCAAATGGTACAACTCGCGTTTTCTTTACTGATGCTTGAACATGTTTGTTATTGTTAAAGGAAATTGATGCTATCAACCCTAAGATGTTTACTCGTCCAAAATGTTTAGTGTAATGTAAAATCGAGTAGCTTCGCAGAAAAGTTGAATAAATTCTTTGATTTCAGAAAAACAAATGGAATCATAAAAAAAGTTAAAACTAACGTGAATACGATAGCGGGGTTTTGTATATAAAGGTTCGATTAGATAATATCTAGTATTAAACTTGTTCGAATATAATTAACGATCAGAGTTAACGATGTGAAAGGTAGATTTAGAAACATGATAGATACTAGACAATAGATTCAACAAAAGTTATATAAAATTTATATGCATTATAAGAAATCAAAATATCACAAAGAAATTGATGATATGAAATATTTCAAAAATATTATGTAGGTACATAATAAGCTGTTTTGCGTTAGTAGACAAACTTTTATTATAAACTGCAGCTTTACGAGTACATTACAACGATTGAATTTTATATAAACTTATTGTTTTGTGTTGTAACATTTGTAGTGGAGTGAAATAATATTATATACTAAAAACACAGATGCGTTAGTTGACAAAATAAATACAGGTAATATAGTTTTCATGGAGCTTTTGATTAAGAAGTCTTGCTGTGTATTATTTATCAATTGTAATAAATTTATTTCATTGGAATTTTATTACAGTTAAATTTCAAATAATTGTCTAAAATAGCGTGAACTGATTACAATGCCCCATACAGAGAACGTCCCAGGAACAATTTGAGCGTTTAGTTAGAGCAATCATTCGCGGTCTCACAGCAGGGTTGTATACGTCAGAAGTTAAATTTACACCGTCTTGGTGATGTCAGACGCTTCACCTAGATTTCAGCTTTTAACCAACGAATGATTCTTTCTCCTACAAATAGATGGCACTAGTTTAACTAAACAAGGAAGTAGCAACTCATTTACGAAAAGTTGAAATAACCAGTTTTTATAACATATTTATCAATAAATGTAAAAATCACTAATGACCAAACAAGGAAGTTATTATGATTGACTTTGAATAAACCAATGTGGGTTCACGCAACGATATATCACGTACTATTCAAACACTGGAAGATTTTTCAAACTAGATATTATTTTTCGATCAATCTTGTTGACGCACGACGTTTATGGATGGATGGAGGTTTACGCTCAACAAACGCACGCAAAGAGCTACTCGCGTAGTAGGAAGTGCGACGAGCGAGGAGTTGACGCAAAACTTTGCTACGAAGGGCGGGCGACGTTTCCGCTGTAGTCTCGAGAGAACCATCTCGTTATCGCAAGACACTCACTATAAAATATCCAACTACATGTGCTGACTGTATCTCTGATGGTGGTGACAATGCCGGCGGAGGCGTCACACGCGTCAAGGCGGCGCATACGCGCGGGCGGCGCGGGCAGTGGGGTCATGGCGCGTCCACTCACGGAGACAGTGCGCCAAGCACTGCCCGCTCGAAATAATCGACGGGAGAGCAAGGAGCGAGAGTTGCAACAAACAAACCGCCGCTATTCGCGTTGCGGTGACTCAGACGTCAGGCAAGCTAAAAGCGGATGCCGTGTGCTGCCGCCCTTCGCGTGGTTTTCTGCCGTTTTCGCTGGGAGGGCGCGCGCGCGCTCGCTCTGCAGCCGGTCGACGACCTGCGCCCACGCCGCTGTTGTCTCTTGCACCCGGCACCGCAACGCTAACTCGACGCATCTATGCACTATTGCTTGACAAATAGTAGCAGATTCCAATTCGTCACAGTAGATCACATATAAACAAAATCCACTCGAGAAGATTCTAGATTTGTATTGTAAGCGCGATAGTACCAAAGTTAATTTATTATCAAGAGTGAACCGTTTGTGACCGACGTCAGCGATACTGTTACGCGATGTTACAGCACCGGACAACCGCCAGCCGGTGGCACGTTCGTAATATTTGAATGTCCGTTGTAGGGATAATTTAGGACCTGATTGCAGCATCACGTTGTTGGGTCTTAACTCGTAGAGCTCTCATTAGATTGTGCATTGCCAAAGTGCAGTGCGCAAAACCCTACGTAGTGCAGACGTAAAACCATCTGATTATCATCAAGTAACATGTCAAAACAAAATAATAGTACCAAGCAATCGAAATTTAACCTATATATAGTATTATGCAATAATATGCGTATGAAAAACAAGCTTTAGTTTGAAGAAAAATAATAATAGAAAATATAAAATATTATTTAGATGTATTTTCATTGGTATTTTTAGAAGTGAATAATAAGATAAAGTAACCCGTTATGAAATAAATATAAGAGGAGAAAAAATGTCAACAATAGTAACACGTGCCCTTACAAAATTATATTGATATAGTCGTGTGCCAACTTCGTCGTTTAATAGCTCATTATGCTAGTATTATAAGATTATAACTTGCGCAGTCTTGTGGTGGTATTAAAATAACCAACTCATAAATCTTACAGACGGAAGAGGAAAACTTATTAAATATGGCAACTATTAAAACTATACATTCAAAATCAATCGTTCGAAAATATCGTTCTGGCCACTAGGAATGTGAAACATGACTTTAGTGTATTTAATGCGAGCTAAAAAATATTTGCCGACAGAGAAACGTTTATATACATACTAAAACACGTTTGGTATGAAATTGAATAAGTTTTAGTTCGATATACTCAAGTAATTTAGACACTCAAAGCCCAAATAAGCCATAATACAGGGAAAGGTACAATTTCCTAAGACTCTTGTTTAAAATTTTGCAAATAATAATATTTAGCTGTGCAACAGAAAGTGTTCATTGTGAGAGATAGAATATTTTACACATACTATTTAAAATGTAGTTGAATTTTAAGTAGCAATATAATTTCTTGAACAACGCAAGATGGGTTTAATGAATGCTTTTAAAGAAGTCTACCCAAGTATCACACAAAAAACTCCTTTCAAAATTATAACTTAAGAATAATTTAGGCCAGTGGTTCACAAAGTTGACTGGGCTCGACCTATCTAAAAAAAATGTTCAATCTTGAAACCCAAATCTGTCTCAGAAAAAAGATGGCATATACATTGTTAATGCTCATATTCTCTAGTGGCAGTCATAAATTTATTTATCTATTAGGGCCCACTTAGTATTCGCTAAATTAAGCTAAGTGAAATGCATAGAAATGTACTCATAAGGCTAAATAATATAATAGATGAATAGGTCAATATCTATTTCTTATCAATAATATTGCAAAACGAGATTTATTTATTTTTTAATTATTCAATTATATTATAGATTTTTTTGAGGGCAATTAATTATCCATTGAAATGAAACAAGATACCAAAAATAAATAATTAAAAATAACTTCCAAAGATTTCTAAGGAAGTTCAGTCCTTAGGTATAAAAGAGATAAATAAACAAGTTTAATGTGCTACTAAATTTAATTTTTTGTCAGATTGGATGGTAGTGGATAAAGGAGTAACTACTACTAAAATAGTAAACCCAAAACAAGTGACGACTAATAAATCAAAAGCTCACAAAAACACATGCGGCAAATAATCGTAAGCGTATGCAGTTAATTGCGCTAGGGAAGTGATAATTAACGAGCCTGAGGTGAAGACAAGGCAGGGGCACGCATTACATTGGCGCGATGGAGAATGTTGTTGATGGATCCGCACCGGACGGTCAGCGGCGGCCAGTGTGAGTCAAACTATGCGTACATTTTCTTAGAGTATATAATGTTAACATATAGATGCGGTTGTAGGAATGCGATGACTGCGTCGCTAATATTTTAATTAATTGAGTAATTTTTATTCATGTACATCTTTAAAATTGGGATGGTCTTTGTCAGCTTTTGACTGAAAACATTTATTATTATTACTATTGAACAGTAAATTCTATATCTAATATTTATAATTTTCTTTTCATTTCCTTATCAGAAAACTTTTAAGTTATATTATGTAATGTATGTTAAAGATGTCAATCTCTATCAACATTCAAACGATATTGTGTCTAAGCTGTACTGTAGTTAAGCAAGTTTAAGTAAATAATACCAGATATTAATTTAGATGGAAATAGACTGAATTTAAAATGACAATGACTATCAAATATGAGCTTCACCCACGACGTCACCTCGCTTGACGAATCGACTCAAGTGTCATTGGTCATAGATACGCATACACCAACAACTGAAAAATGACAATATCTTGGCAACGGTGATATTATTATCACGACTAACTCGGCTTGAGCTTTATTGTAATATTAGGAACATTACAGTCATGACTACAATAGCTGTTGTTGTAACATTGCCAAATAATTGACGAAAACATTTATTATTTTAAATTAAATTATATATCGTTAGATATTCATAATCTATACAATATAGGTTTTGTCGCTCTTCCCAAAATATATTTTGATTGAAAGAAAGAATAATTTCGTTGAGTAAACGTGGACATTCAATTTTGTTTCTGAATTTACAAAAACATTCGCTCTTAGCTGAGCTTTTAAATTTTGTAAGGGTTATCACTGCTGTATCAAATGATACCAGAAATAAATTGGCCGAAGGAAAGCTTTCAGATCATTGGATTTAATATGTTTTCAATTTGACGTCTGACCGGGATGCGGATTGAAGCAATTGCGTCACTAGCAGAGCTCGCACGGAAACAGTCCATATGATGACACTATGTGTTAACGTTAAAGATTTATTAGTTTCACCATGCCATTAAATGCAAAAAAACTTATTACTTTAAAAAGTAATAACTACAGCCGATAATATCATCAAAAGTAATATACATTTAGATTCTGGAGCAT